GACTTCCATATTGGCAAAGACCATCCGCATTATGACACTGCCTCGGTCATTGCTAACGACCATCATCATTTATTCCTTCAACCTTTTGAAGCGATGGGTTCAGTCATAGGGAGATAGTGTCCCGTGTGTGGGGACAGCAACAAAGAAGTAGTCATAAGCTCATAAGTATGTATTTTATGGGCGTACTAAAATTGAAATGCAGTAAAAAGCTTAAACTTTAGTGTTTACAGATTCCATTAAATTTTAAACGATCAAACATTTCCGCAACTGTAATATCAAACTGTACGATGCAGCATTAAAATACGTAATATCACAACCTAGATCTATGAAAACTCCATTTATTCACTTCAGTCTAGGCATTGTGAATGTTTTGCTTCACTGATTTGGGAGTATCGGGAGTAGGGTTTCCAGATAAAATGTTCCGATTCCGATTATCGGGAGAAAAAAGTATGTTTTCGGGATTTTGGGACTTTGGTTGGTTTGATCACCATTATTGTAAGGGTTTGTTTCCACGGAGACATCCTATTTTTGGCAGGAACTGTTGTTTAAATGATTAGTAAGTATACGTGTTTTAGTAGTAATGTTTACATAAAGTTCCCGTTCGTAGTGTCCTGCAAAAATCCGATCAGTTCGAATTTGTAATTCGAATTACAAACACAAGTGGTTCACACGACAGTCCAGTTTTGCGGGAACCTGCATTACTGGATCCCGCAAAGCCCTTGCATACGCCAAATGCGGCATGAGACGCTAATATGGAGAGCTCCCGGGAATCGTGAGCACATACAAAAAAAACCCGACGATCTGGCAACCCTAATCGGGAGCCTCTTTCATTTTTCGGCCGGCTGGCTTCGGTGCAACCTCGATATTCGGCCAATAATCCGTGACCGTTCTGGACCTTCCAGATTTTCAATCGCATGCAGTTATGGACTAATAATAAACAAAGTTCAAATTGGATTTTGAGTCAGTCCTCAGTAAATATATACTGTTTTTATTGCCTTGAGAGGTTATTGGAATATGTCTCTATTATAGCGATATCTGCTGAAAGAAATCTGTGTACGAACTGTGAAATAAAAATAATTAAATAAAGCCACCTGACTCGCTAATTTCATTTTTAGGGTTCCGTACCTCAAAAGGAAAAAACGGAACCCTTATAGGATCACTTTGTTGTCCGTCCGTCCGTCTGTCAAGACCCTTTATCTCAAGAACGCGTGAACGTATCAAGCTGAAATTCACATGAAATACTCAGGTCTATTGTTCCTTTAAGCTGTGAAAATATCAAACTTCTAAGCCAAGCCAATCAAAAGATACAGCCGATTATGTCGATATTTTCAACAAATTTTCGACACTCGCAAAGGAATCAAAACCTACAGGATACTTCCCGTAAACTCAGAATCTTGAAATTTGGCATAAAGCATTGTCATCTAATGCAAATATAGGAAAAATTGCAAAAAATTTCATTTTTTTAGTTATATAATATAATAAAAATATTTTAATAAAATGAAACTTACTACCTTATTTCTCACGAACGAATAAAGGTATCAAATTGAAATTTATACCAAATACCTAGATATTGTCCCTTTAAGAAGTAAAAAATTCAAACTTCTAAGTTAATCCGTCTTAAATTTATGCTCCTCCATCTTTCCCCATTGTAATGTTATGAATTTCATTTTGCAATAAAAATACGCGCATGGGTAAACTATAAACAGCGAGCGACAAAGCTGCTGTGTGTAATCGGTATCGGGCTAAAACCCAAACCCAACTGACCAAAACTTCACTGATTTTCTTTCTACGAAATCCTAACCTAATTGTTTTGTTACAGGCCCTACTACAGGCGCACGATGTGGTCGCCCGCGAGGTGTACGGCGAGGAGTCGCTGCGAGCGTCCCCCCCGCCCGTCAACGGACGCACCACCGCCCCCCCTCCCGAAGATGATGACGACACCGAGCCCGAGTTCGAGAACGTGACCAGGGTGCGCCTCGTGCAGTTCCAGAAGAACACCGATGAGCCGATGGTAAGTCCTTGATTCCACAGTCAATGTTTTTTTTTCTCCGCCCTGTTCGATGCCAGAAGAACACTGAATGGCCAATGGTAAGTCCTGGATCTGTCCCCTCTCTAATTCCCGAGTTTGTTTCTGCGAGCATCCCCCCACTAGTCAACGGACGCACCACCGCCCCCCCTCCCGAAGATGATGACGACACCGAGCCCGAGTTCGAGAACGTGACCAGGGTGCGCCTCGTGCAGTTCCAGAAGAACACTGACGAACCGATGGTAAGTCCTTGATTCCACAGTCAATGTGTTTCTTTCTTCACCCCGTTGGATGCCAGAAGAACACTGACTGTCCAATGGTAAGTCTTAAATCTATCCCCTCTTTGATTTCCATCGCTGCGAGCGTCACCCCTGTCCGTCAACGAACGCACCACAGCCTCCTCATCCAGAAAATTATGACGACACCGAGCCTGTGATCGAGATCGTGACCTGAATACGTCTCATGCAGAAACTGAAGAGCCGGTGATAAGTCCTTATCTAGCCCCTCTTTGATTGAATTCTTTCTCCGCCTCGTACAGTTCCAAAAAATGACTGAAGAGCTTATAGCTTTTGTTCCTGAGTGGTTCATTCCATGATCGATGGTTCTCTTCCTTCGCCACCTGCAATCCCAGGACAGTGATGATGGTAAGTCCTTGATCTATCTGTCCCCTATGTAATTCCTGTCGTTGGAAGCGTTTTCCCTGCCCTTTAACGTAGGTTTAGAGAAGAGCCTACATTTTAAAGATTCTCAGACTATTATTTTAATTATGAATGTTCTCATTAACTTATTGGGGTAAAAGCTTCCATTATTAGGTGTCTGGAAAGTTTAAAAAGGGATGCTTCGATAGCAGACATCCGTTCCAATTACACAACATATTCACTAATTTCATATAGGTACGGTTAACTTCAAAACTTATAATAAGCTGATTGATTGGAGTCAAAGAACAGGGCCTAACTGATTGAGTCTATAAACATCGCAAGATGGCTCTTGAAAACTTAATAAGATTTCAAATCTTAAGGCAAAAGTGGTTTACCTTTCACACAGATCACCATGAATAAATAATGTTGTAAATTACATACATCTTACCTACATGTTTCTCCTGAGCTGAGAGCAAACAGAATCGGTAATTGAGTAAAATCAGTAATTGAGTAAAATTGTCAATTTGGCGCTGGATGTGAGCGGAGTGTCGTCGAAGTCAAATTAGGTCGAGCTTTACATGTGCCATGTTTTATACCACAGGAAAAATTTAATTTAAAAAATACCTTTGGAAGTAAAATCAAAGAGAAAGCGATTTTGTCTTTTTCTATATTCTTCTGATAAACCTCCTTTGCGGGAACATTGACGCTCCTCCTTAGATCCTGTATGTAAACAGTGTAAACTTTCAATTAAAATTAACTAGTTTCTCAGCTGCAAAACTTGGCGTTATATCACTAACTAGCGATCTCAGGAAAAAGCGCCACCTGTGTGGTATGAATAAAACTTTGAATTAAAATGCCAGCACGTCCTATGTTAGTTTATGAAACTGGCAATAGATGGCGTTGTTCTTAAGAACACCGTCAAGCAATTAATTGAGCTGAATTTTGCCTATTATTGTAAAATAAAAATCTAATTTTCTTATAAAATACAGTATGTAACTAAAAGAATTCTTATAATTTTCATTTTTTTTCTTGCAAGATGCTATTATATTTTTGCCAAAATAGCGCCATCTGTGTGGCTTTGATACAACTTCGAATCAAGAGCCCAATACGCCCTCTATGTAGGGTAGAGCTTCTATGAGTCGTTGCCGTAATTTTCAAAATTAGTAGTAGATGGCGCTGCTTAGCTGTAGTGTTGGTTCCTTTGTTTTCGTACGGTGGCGCCTTTTTCAATATTTATTACGTAGAGTCCATTTAAATAAAAATAATTATTAATTACAGGAGGGTTTGGAAAATTATTATCCGTGTGAACACATGAAACAAGAATTTCGATAGTACTATTTTATTTTATCAGAAAGCGAACTTTTCCAGACAATCTGGAGAGCAGACAGTGGTTAAAATATAATACGCTAAAGGGAACAAATATTTAAATAAAATATTCTGTACATATTACATACAAAACATGTGTATCTATTAGTTACAATATGAATAAATTAGCTTTTACCACAGCTGTTACTTTTGTCACGGAAAGTCTAACGCCCAACGCGACTCGCGTTTAAAAACACGAATAGGTATTAAGTATCCTATCCAATAAATTAACACACAGTTAAATCGTATTTATTATAATAATTTTAGTATACAATAAAGGTTTATGCCTAATAATATGAATAATGAGGGTAAGATATGGTAATGTAGAGTTCCCCTCTTGAACTAAACACTACCTTTTTATGTAAGTCAGGGTTAGCCGGCTTATGGGTAACCTGTTGCTATGCGATCACCACTGCCAAGTAAGATCAGTAAAACCACAAGACTTTGTCTTGAAGGTCCATTTAAGTCCTCCTAACTTAATTATTACTTTGGTTTGTTATAAAAAGTACATAAGTAGGTAGGTACAGCACAGTAAGAAATGAGTAAGTAGTTTTTATGTACTTAAATGTGCTTAGGATCATTAATATGGCCAGTTTAATAGTAAAGATAAGTTTAGGTGTATGAATATTTGCACTTTTAAAGATTTTAGAGAACAAAGGATTGTCGAAAATGGCACTACTTAATCTTCAAGTTTCTTAGCAATACCTATTGCATATTAGCACTATTAGCTCATTCTCGTACTTATTTCAAGTAGTTTTTGGCTAATTTCCATAAAAAACATCGTAAACAAAGATCGCCATCATAAACATCTATCTGTAATTATGTATTCAATTGCGCAGTTATCGAGAACGTTCGAGGTCTCGCCCGGGGAAAATTCAATACAGCCCTCACCCCAAACCATATATCAGTTTAAATCTAGCTAGATTTCCCGGCCTGTGACTGGCCTAGCCAGATGCGTCGGTCGAGAATGCAACGAATCGCAGCGAAGCATCTTGCGTCTGCGAATTGCAGTGTGATTTATTGATTTCAGCTGTCTAGGGACCCTAGATATCGGAGGCTCCGGGCGCAGTGTGTTAGCGCTCACGGTCCGATCCAGACGTGTCTCCGACACTCCGGCCTAGTTTGGATCCCTGATTCCTTTTGGCTGTAACACCTAGCCGCCGCTAACACACCGTCACTTTTCGAGCACTATCACCTTGCTCTCAGGCTTTCAGCCTTTCCCAATGAGGTTCACCATCTTGCCTCAGCCCTGGAGTTGCGTCGAACTCGGTTTTGTGTGCTGCCGAGTCCAGACGTAGACAATGGGGTACACTGCAGGCCGAAATGTAAGTTCAATTGAAACTTCCGCCATTTTCGAACTTTTAAATTTTGTCTTTTATCTTTTTTTCTTTTTGAGAATTTGACTAATTCCTTTGTCTTTCACAGGGCATCACCCTCAAGCTCGCCGACGACGGCCGGTGCATCGTGGCCCGAATCATGCATGGGGGCATGATACACCGGCAAGCCACGCTCCACGTCGGTGACGAGATCAGGGAGATCAACGGGACACCAGTCGCCAACCAGTCGGTCGCACAGTTGCAGCGTATGCTGGTGAGTATTTATTTTTAAATTTTCGTTTTTTTTTCCTTTCTTTTATTTTTTTTTTGTTAAAATTATATAGTTTGTGTTATTTTTGCTAATTTCTTTGTTTCGTTTTTCTTTTTATTTTTACTTGTTACTTGTTCTCTCTATTTTCTGTATTTTTTGCTCGTCTTTGTGCGATCGATCAATCATTTCGGACGCGTACTTTTAAAGGGGTAGAGTGTGGGGGGTGCGGGGCAGGGTGTGGCCGTCCGCCATTTTGTGAATTTCTGTTACGCAATAGAAGCCTATCGAATATTTATATTTTGTAATAATTTCAATATTACCGTGATTGATTTTTGCCAATTTCACCTCGAATTGAACAGAGCTAATGTCTTTTAGTGCCTTTTCTGCGATTTTAATAACTTTTCTTTGTGCGATCTATGCATTAAAATTGGACGCGCAGTTTTAGAGAGGTAGGTGGCGAGGGGAGGGGGTGAGGCGCGGTACCGGGGAAGCGTCATGCTAGCCGCCATTTTGGAAATGCCTGTTGCACAACTGAATTTACCACTGACTCATGCTTTTCACTGAAGCATCTATCGTGGATATATACCATCTCATATGAATCATGATCATTTCAATTATGGTTCTTCTTGCTTTGAACAACATTCCACTTCGAATATATCCCTTATTATCTCTAGACATGCGCAATAAGCTAGGATCGTGGGATATTCCACTCAAGTGAAGGTTAGGTTACCTGAAGGTTGCCGATCAATACCTTCCAAGTTATTTTTAGCTGGGAACAGTGAGACTGAGAACTTTGTATGGGAATTGGGCGTAGTAATTGGAATTTTCTCGAATGTTTCAGAGCGTTATCTGTCTTTAGGGCGCCTTAGTCTAGTCCTAACTCGAAGTAGATATTTTCATTTGCACATGTTTAAATCATCTGTTGCGCATTTCATATTGCCGCCATATTGGAAGCATTTTCATCTAGAACTTTCATGCATATGCGCGATTTTACTTTTTAATGGGAAGTTAGGTTTATAGATTACTGTCGCGCCTATTTTCATGCTGTAAAGTCAGTCATATTAGTAGCGTGAGTTTGTAAATATCTGTTGCGCATTGACGCCGCCATTTTAAAAGCATATTCATCTAGAACTTTTTGTATTGCACATGCGCGAGGAGGTGGGAGTTAGAAGCCTCTGCTGGGTCGCCATTTTGGAAACACTTGCATCCGGATGCCGGGTCATAATTGTACATGCGCAATTGTGGGAGGGGTAGGGAGGTGGGGGTTAGAAGCCTCTGTTAGAAGCCTTTGGGTAGCCATTTTGAAAGCACAACTTGCATCTGTATTGCACATGCGCGTTGTTGTGAGAGTGCGCGAACTTGTTGCGCTGTGTTGATGTCGGCAGTAGTAGACCGCCATATTAAAAAGATAGGAATGAAGTCTAGACTAGAACTTAGGCTAGAAAAAGACTTTAAAGGTTTGTTTAAATTAAATTATTATCAGTCATTTGTGAAAGACAAAAGTGTGACATGCAAATAATTTTGTGGGAAGTTGAAAGTTGATGCTGTAAAGTCAGACATTTTCGTAGAAAGAGTTTGTTTATCATCGGTAATGATACCACCATTTTCAATATGCGTATTGAAGATGGAAGTCTAGGTTACCGTAAAAGCTTGCCGATCAATACCATCCAAAGTTATTTTTAGCTGGGAACGGTGATAGCTTTGTATATGAATTGGGTATCTTATGAAACGTAACGTGTTTTCAGTGTGTGATTCGCCACTTAGGGCACTGAAGTCGTAATAATTTCAGTTTCACACGTTCATAGAGTATTGCGCATCAATTCCGCCATTTTAAAAGCATTTTCATCTAGACATTTCTGCAATGAACATGCGCGATTGTGGGAGAGGTAAGGAGATGGGGGTTAGAAGCCTCTGTTAAAAGCCTTTGCCGGGTAGCCATTTTGAAAGCACTTGCATCCGGATGCCGGGTCTTAGCCTTTGCTAGATGCGCGAACTTGTTGCGCTATGGTGTTGCCGGATGTAGTTGACTGCCATATTGAAATAGGTATTGCACTCAAGGAATTAATTCTAACATTTGTCCTAGGTACTCCTTAGTCTAGAATAAGGCTAGCCTTAAAATAAAGCCTTAGTTTAAATTATTCAAATTCTTTTCAGTCATTAATATTTTGGGAAAAGCAAAAGTGTTTTGTGAAAAGTTGAGTGCAATGTTACGCCTCTTTTGAAGCAGTGAGCTCAAACATTTTGAAAATGTGAATTCCATCGATGCCGCCATTTTAAAAGCACATGAATCCGGGTTCTGAAACTATGTGAATCGCACATGCGCGTTGTTGTGAAAGTGCGCGAACTTGTTGCGCTGTGTTGGTGCCGGAAGTAGCTAACCGCCATATCGCAAAAGACATGCGCACTAGAGATGAAGACTAGCCTTTGTCTAGAATCCTAGACTAGAGATAGGCAAAACACGCATGCGCCAACTTGTTGCGCTGTGTTGTGGCGGGAATGATGTGTCGTCCGCCATTTTGCAAAAGACATGCGCAGTAGAGATGAAGACTAGCCCTCATCTAGATTCCTAGACTAGAGATAGGCAAAACACGCATGCGCCAACTTGTTGCGCTGTGTTGTGGCGGGAATGGCGTCTCGTCCGCCATTTTGAAAGCTCTTGCATCTGGAACTTTCTGCACATGCGCGTTGTTGTGTGGATGTGAAGTCTAGACATTTTAGTAGCATGAGTTTGTAAACATGCCGCCATTTTAAAAGCAGTAGGTAATGCACATGCGCGATTCTGGGCGCGGTTGGGAGGTGGGGGTTAGAAGCCTCTGTTAGAAGCCTTTGCTGGATACTAGGACATGCGCAATGGTGGGAAATGTTGGGAGGTGGGGGTTAGAAGCCTGTGTTAGAGGCCTCTAGGTCCGCCATTTTAGGTGCACACTTTGGAACTTGTTGCTTTGTCCGCCATTTTCAAATAAATTCAAGTTTGTTGCGCTTTAGACATATTAACAAGTAATTTAATGCCTATTTGGTATTCAAAAATGCCGATTAAATCATCGAGATAGACATCTTAGAAGCCGAAGCTTCTATTAGAAATTGTTAGGAGTTTTAATTTGGCATTCGACATCCGCCATCTTGGAACATTGTTTTATATTTGAATCACAACGCATTTTTTAAATAATTTTAATGGTATTCTGGTACTTAGGTTCTTCTGAATAAATTATGATGTCATCCAAGTAAACTATTTTATTTATTTATTATTGTAACTTATTATAATCTTTTTTTTTCTGTAATTTTCAGCGTGAGGCTCGAGGTTCGGTGACGTTCAAGATCGTCCCGTCCTACCGGTCTGCTCCACCACCGTGTGAGGTAAATAATTACATTTTGACAACGCTTTGATCTGTAGAAACTCTTTGAGACATTCCAAAACCTTGTAGTTTGTGGTGTGGTTTTGACTTTCAGTAGATAATAGATTAGATTGTTACTAAAAGATTGCTAGAATAGTGAAGCATTTTTGAGATTTACCCTAGTTTACTAACAGTGGTTAACTTACATAGAAAAAACAAACGCTTGCTTCTTAATAATAAAAATAAAACAATAAAATGAAAGTCGACAAGCGCACATAAATGCTTGTCCATAAAGCATAAACTGATTGGTGGTGATAAAAAAGTGAAAATAAAATTTTGTTTTTGTTCTAACTAGCTTTTCCGGATTAAGCCTTCGCCCGTGCTAGTAAGTAGCGAGAGCAGACCCGTTGCTACTGTCGTAATATGTTGTATACCCATTTTATGTTGTGTTTTGTTGTCCACCCGGGCATGGCTGCGGTCCACGATCTCCTCCGTTTCTGTGCGCTTGTTGTTCTTTACCATCGCTTCATTACCCCTTCATTTACATTTTTGTGTTATCGAATTCATTTTTGTATTATCATTCACATACTCATTTATCAACACAACACATCGCTACACTCCACTTCATTCCAGCTTGTTTTTATTCAGTCGTGTCGCATTTGCTTCCCTACAAGTCTTCGAAATACTATGAACACAATGAATTAAGGTATCTCTTGTGTCTTCATTACCTTTTCCCTTGAACTTTTGAATTCAAATGCGACCTGGCTGATAGCATTGTCTCTTGCATCATCATGTACTTCAATCTAAATTTATCCTTGCAGATCTTTGTGAGAGCGCAGTTTGATTATGATCCTCTGGAAGATGAGCTGATACCGTGTGCCCAAGCTGGTATCGCCTTTAACACCGGCGACATCCTCCAGGTTTGTATTGCCTATTCTAAAACTAGCTCTTTAATTCTTGTGTGTGCTTTGAATTTATCAATTTCTTCATTATTTGTTCATTATGCTAGATTTGTGGAAGCAGATTCATAGAGGATTTTTTCTCAAATTTCCAGATCATAAGCAAAGATGACTCTCACTGGTGGCAAGCGAGGAAAGACGCATCGGGCGGCTCCGCGGGCCTCATCCCCAGCCCGGAACTACAGGAATGGCGCGCGGCTTGCGCTGCCGCCGAAAGATCTACCACCGATCAAGGTGAGGATTTAGCTCTCAAGAGCTTTCTGTGTGCAACATTAGATAGAGGGTGGTTATTGATGATAGTCAGATACGCAATGATATTAGTAACAAAATACTTAGAGGTGAAAGGAAATTTGGGAAAAATGACGCTTAGAATTTTTGGGAAATTTTTCTAGATCTTTATCAATCGTAATTTAGACAAGTCTGTTTTTAAAGTTGTGGGGAATTTCTAAATGTTTTGAGTATGTTTGTGTTTCGGTACATACTTCGGTCTTGTGTCTTTTGGTATCAACAAGTTCAGTCGTTTTCAATCCTGAATGCTTGCGTATATGACTATCAGCCTTAGGGTTGTTATTTCCTTCTTCTTCATACTATTCACCGCTAGTTTATTGAGTGTGTCGCTACGATTGTTTTCATCTATTATTTAGACTTCTCTCAATCTTTTGGTAAAAGTTTTTTTGGTCTTACACAATAGTTTACCTCAGAACCAACAGCATTGGAAACTTGCATGTTTTCTTTCAAATCATAAATATTTTTTTCGCACAAATTCTTAAAAAAAAGACAAGGATTACTTAATTTTATTAAAGTTGTAAGGGATATGCAAACACTTTGAAATATTGTAAACGCTTGTTTTCTATTGGTCCTGAGGCGGATTGTGTCGATTTCTTTTATTTTTTTAAGTTGAATCTGTCTGTGTCTTTGGTGGTTTTTGTTGTGCCTAGATCGATGTTAGTCTTTTATTTCTTGATTTTGTTTCATTTTGATTTGATTCTCACTTGTCTGTCTAGATGTGTCTTAAGTTCTTGTTATTCAAATCTCTCTAATGTTGCAATTAAATTATTTAATAATAACAATGTATCATTGACATTAATATAATATCCTAATTTTGCTTTCAAACATAATCATTGGATGAACCTGCAGTTGGTATGTAACATGCTTCTCTATGTACATCGAGTAATACAAGCTCCCGTATTTCGTATAATGTCTCCCTTGACATGTAATCTTTGCATGGTCTTAAACCAAAGTATGTAAAGGATCAGTTCTTGTATTCTCCTAAAACCTCTGTGTAGGCACTTTACCCAAATTACACTACCATTATCTCTTCTCGGTAGTGAATTGTTGAGTAATTAGAATAACATTTACCCGATAGTTGTATTGAAAGGGAGTTTGTGTAACCCCAGATAAAGTAATGTTGGAATTTTTGGAGAGGTTTTGTCAAAAGTTCTGTATAATTTTGAATCTATAAACGATATTCTGAACTAAAATTTGGGAGTCTCGCAGGGTACTCTATTGGGTCCAAGATTATTACCGTTAAAAAGTTACCGCCATAATAATACATGGTTGTTAAGATAATACGTACATGATTAAGTTACTTATGAAAAACGTAAATTTTCGATTGTTGGTGAATCCCGTTTAAAAATGGACCGTACTCTTTATGTCCAAAGAACTCAAAACGCTCAAATTCTTGTTACACACTTGTGAAATTTGCCAAAACCTCTCCCGTTTTGCGTGTGCCCCCACTGAAGTAGTGACCATACCATACCATTGCGTTTGCATGATCGTGTTGTAATGTTGTGCCGCTAGGAGCCGAAGGATGCGTCTCCCATACCGACGGATGTGAAAACACAGGTAAAACACCAAAATACTAACGTTTAGCTCATTATAGTCATGCTTTTGATTTGAACCAGCCAAATAAAATAAAACAGATGGAAGCTATCGTATTTGAGCTCTAAAGTTAGCGCCACTAGCGTTACTGTGATAGTAAAGCCAAATGGTGAACTCTTAAACGCAATGGGTACCTACCAATTGGAAAAACAGGATTAGGTACCCAGTACTCTGGTAATGGGGAATGTCAAATGTTAGTGGCTCAAATCAAGAACTGGACAGAATGGAAAACAAGTGACTACTATGCCGCCATTGCCTCAAGCAGGTGATGATATGATTTTACTAACCTCTTTCAGACTAATTATATTTCAGTAATTTCTTTTTGACTTATTATCAAAGCTGAATTTACGTTGAAAGCCATGATTTTTCTAAAGCAAAGGTATTGAAATAAAAAAAATCTTTTCTTTCAACCAAATGGTTTACGCCATTTTAACATTTAGAAAAAACTTTTACATTTCCAAAAACAAAAAAAAAACAAGTTGTAGTGTAATCAAATAAAATCAAAAGCTTATCAGAAACCTATTAACTGGAGTATAATTTGTTCCAGTCAACTGTTCCATATTCGGGCGCAAGAAGAAGCAGCCCAAGGACAAGTATTTGGCCAAGCACAATGCGGTCTTCGACCAACTGGACGTCGTCACTTACGAAGAAGTTGTCAAGCTACCATGTAAGTATCTTATGTACAGTCACGGAATGAAAAGGTTCGTCAGTTTTCAAATTGATTCCTTCAACGAATCGCGAGCACATATTACCTTTTGAAACTATGTTACAGAATAATCTCGAGTTAGAGAAAATGATCTTTAACTGTTCGTCAGTGAAGTTCAAAATTATTCAGATCAAAGTTGTTTGACGATTTATCTTGTCAAGAAGATTATTATGATTGATAAACTAAAACTTTCTTGTTGGTTCAACCTGCCATTATTATTTCTATTAAATAAAAAAAAACTACATTTTGTAACATTATTGCACTGATGGAATAGAAAAATAAACAAGCAAAACCTTATTCGTTAGCAAACGTCATAATATTTATTTCAATGTTAGCAGCACTGTTTCTTGCATGGTTATGTTGGCAGGTTTGATTCTTACAGTACCTAGTGCAAGCGAAAACCGACACTAAGGTGACGAACCTGTTCATTCCGCGACTGTACATAATAATAAGGGGTATTTTATTTTCTTTTGCCTGGGACAATTCACTAATTCAAACTTGGCCTTCACTGGTTGGATTTTTATTGACGGTCAAGCTATAGATCCTGGCTACACAGGTACACAGCAGTTGCAGCGGTGGGAACGGGAGGTGGAAATAGTTCCGTACCGTAGTAGTTGGGGGAAAAAAGGAGATATTTTAAGTATTTTTGTCAATATACATATTGCTGGAACTGGAACACAACAGAATACATTTCATGGGTTCGATTCAGTCATGAAATCCTGTAAAATACATGTTATAACTATATTTCATGAAATAGATACATGCAATTAATGTAAGGTCGGGAAGCACCTGCAGGATCGGTTGTTTTGGAAATCCTTGGAGAAGGCATTTTTCAAGCAGTAGACGTCATTTGGCTAAAACAAACAAACATGGTAGAAGCCAGAATATCATTAGCCTAATTGTAAAAACTGTCTAAGACCTTAAAAGTGACTGTAAAAATTAAAATTAATGACAATTTGTGTTACGTTTCAGCTTTCCAACGCAAGACAATAGTGCTCCTCGGCGCTCACGGCGTCGGCCGGCGTCACATCAAGAACACACTCATTGCGCGTCACCCGGACCAGTACGCGTATCCTATACCACGTAAGTAAAGCCCGGTCCGAGAACACGTGAATTTTATCCAATGACCCCAAGCTACCCAGCCTTATCGCTCGCGCGCTGCGCGTAATTATGTTGCTGTCGCGCTCGCACACTCACTGCGGGCGCCGCGCCCGTCGCACAGTCGCGACAGCAATATAGCTTGGGGTCATTGGACAAAATTCTACGTGCTCACGGACCAGATTATACATTATACCACTTCTTCTTTATGGTATTTTTTACCGATAGAGTATGATATTCATTGTTTATTAAGTTCAAAATTAAATTTAACTTTACAATGAATGCAAATGTTAAGAGCTGGTGCCTAAAGAATTTAGTAATCTTGTAAATAGGAAATATTTTATATCTCGCTTACCTACTTCATCAGGTTATTAAACTCAAAGTTTGATTCCTAGAGTCCAAAACGACTTGGGAAATATTGCCTGTGTAATAAGCTCATTGCCAAACCTAAAATTCTAAACTGTTTTTTATTTCAATTAATTTAGATGACATATTATTTGCTGGACTCAATCCCATCTAATTAAGATGTATAGTGGGGCAAGTACCTATCTCTAAACGGTGAGCAAATACGCGCGCGATATTGTTTTTCTGTGACAGACAAAATTCCACGCGGGCGAAGCCGCGGGCGGAAAGCTAGTAACAGATAAATGTCACCGCTTTATTGATCTTAATAATATGAAAATTAACTAACTTTAATCAATCGGCCACATAATGTTTGGTCTATAACTTAATGGTTTGCAAGATTACCACATTCTTTAGCTGCTGCTTCACATAATTGTTAAGAATGATGATATCACAGCCAAGGCTCGGAACCGGTGAATTACAATAATATATTGAGGAGGGTGTTTAATGTATTGTCTATTATAAATATAAACAAAGACAAACATAAATAACTTTATAGAATGTCCATTTAAATGTAGCATTATTTTGTAATCAAAGTACGTAGTGGCAATACTAGATAAGTGTTTGGATAGAGAGGGACACACTTACTTGTTTTGCGAAATATTACATTTGAAATACAAAATGAAAATAATATAATATAAAAAGCAATGTAGTAGTTATATTAACGTATGTAAATTCGGACGGACTATAAATAAGTGATTAAGCAAAGATAAGTGTAAAATTAAGTGAGATTCAATTGACATAATACGAACGAATGAAAGAACGAACGAATACGATTGTATTACTGTCTTAAAAGCATTGTGGTGTATAATACTAATTCTATCGGATTCCGGGACCTAAAAATACGACCAGACTCTCTGGGTATCGGCTGATGTCTGACTTTACATTGTTTGCTCAGGAGGAATGGCGATTTATTAACGATTGTATACTATAAATCTATGTATTAATGGTTTTAGATACGACGAGACCACCCAGGCCTGACGAGGAGAACGGGAGACACTACTACTTCGTGACCCACGACGAAATGATGACCGATATTGCTGCAAACGAATACTTGGAATATGGTAAGATTTTAAAACAAAACTTCAGCCAGCTGGAAAGCAGGGCGTCCCATCCACAACCCATAACGGCCGCTACCAACCTGTCATTATGGAAATCATTGGGGGAGGCCTATGTTCAGCAATGGTCGTCTTGTGGCTGAAATGATGAAGATGATGACTGAAGCCAGTGTTAGCTAGGCCATGCCCCTTCTCATTGCTGGAGTGGAGACCAAAGGACTTGATAACCATGTTGATGTAAGTAGAAAAGTCGTGCTTCTGTATTGGAAACTGATGATGATAAAACTAAAGTGAGTCTTGCTCCTTATGACCTGATGATGATGATGATTAAAATTAGAGAGGACCATTCTGCAGTGGATCAGGCTAGTTTCCTAAAAAATTTTTTTTAGTCCGTCACTTTTAATATAAAAAAGTATTGGACACGTATATTTTTAATTGTCAATCAAACAAATAATTACAAAGTTATTGTGCGTTGAAGTTCCGCGCGACGTCACAAAGTGCTGCACTTTTACGCACTTACTGACGTCACGGGCCTTTTCTTTAGAACTTTGGCACGCTTTATCTCTTTACATTTTCATTAGTGTTAAATAGTGAAAAATACGTGTTGAGTAGTTTTTGATAAGCTATCTGAGGGACTAATTAAAACTCTTGCTTTTTTACCCAGGCAACATCCCTATTCGTTGGTTCGTTCGTCTCAGCCAAATGACGTCCACTGCTGGACAAAGGCCTCCCCCAAGGTTTATATTATAATGCTATTATAATGCTAAAATTAAATTGGGTCGTGCTCCTTCGATGGAGACTAAAAGGCTTGATGATGATGATTAAATTAAAGAGGATCGCCCGTCTCCTGCAATGGAGACTAGATTACCTGATGATGATGAAATCAAAGAAGATCGTACTGTAATCGTTATGACCTGGTAATGAGAGGGTCTGTTCCTATAGCATAATAATAAATGGCTTCATGTTAATGGTTATGAAATTGATGCTTCTGTAGTGGAGACTAAAATATTCTGATGATTTATCCAGGAACGCACGAGGACGCGATGTACGGCACGAAACTGGAGACCATCCGGCGTATCCACTCGGAGCGACGCATCGCCATCTTGGATGTCGAGCCGCAAGCGTTGAAGATCCTGCGCACCGCCGAGTTCGCGCCATATGTCGTGTTCATCGCTGCACCACCGTTGAACAACGTCGCCGATGTGAGTATTGTAAATAGAAAATAGTTCTGAGACAGATGACACATTGTTCCATGAAGACACCATCTTAGATGGGGAGAAGATCCTGCGCACAGCCGAGTTCGCGCCATACGTCGTGTTTATCGTTGAACAACGTCGCCGATGTGAGTATAGGAACACATCGAATATACTACATGCTATTCACTTGATAAACACTAGGATTCATGTCTTTACGTGTCCAGAGTCGTAAGTATTATAGGAATCACATCGATCTACTGAGGCTGACGCTAGGTATATCGTAGAGTCGCCATCTTGGATGTCGAGCCGCAAGCACTGAAGATCCTGCGCACGGCCGAGTTCGCGCCATACATCGTGTTCATCGCTGCACCACCGTTGAACAACGTCGCCGATGTGAGTATTGTAAATAGAAAATAGTTCTGAGACAGATGACACATTGTTCCATGAAGACACCATCTTAGATGGGGAGAAGATCCTGCGCACAGCAGAGTTCGCGCCATACGTCGTGTTCATCGCTGCACCACCGTTGAACAACGTCGCCGATGTGAGTATAGGAACACATCGAATAAACTACATGCTATTCACTTGATAAACACTAGGATTCATGTCTTTACGTGTCCAGAGTCGTAAGTATTATAGAAATCACATCGATCTACTGAGGCAGACGGCCTATGGTACTGTAGAGTCGCCATCTTGGATGTCGAGCCCAAGCACTGAAGATCCTGCGCACGGCCGAGTTCGCGCCATACGTCGTGTTCATCGCTGCACCACCGTTGAACAACGTCGCCGATGTGAGTATCGTTCGTTCGTTCATTCGTTTCAGCCGAAAGACGTCCACTGCTGGACAGGCCTCCTCCAAGGATTTCCACAAAGACCGGTCCTGCGCCGCTCGCATCCAGGCACCTCCCGCGACCTTCACCAGATCGTCGGTCCACCTAGTGGAAGGCCTGTCCACGCTACGTCTTCCGGCTCGCGGTCGCCACTCAAGAACTTTCCTGCCCCAGCGGCCATCAGCTCTTCGAGCTATGTGCCCTGCCCACTGCCACTTGATTTTAGCGATTCTGCGGGCTATGTCAGTCACTCTGGTTCTCCCACGGATCTCCTAATTTCTGATTTGATCTTCGATGTTAGTATAGTCAATACAAAATAGATCGAACCACTGAGGCAGACGCTAGGCATATCGTAGAGTCGCCATCTTGGATGTGCGCAGGCGTTGAAGATCCTGCGCACAGCCGAATTCGCGCCATACGTCATATTCATCGTTGCACCACCGTTGAACAACGTCGCCGATGTGAGTATTGTAAATAGAAAATAGTTCTGAGACAGATGACCAATTGTTCCATGAAGACGCCATCTTAGGTTGGGAGAAGTTCCTGCGCAAAGCCGAATTCACGCCATACGTCATATTCATCGCTGCACCACCGTTGAACAACGTCGCCGATGTGAGTATTGTAAATAGAAAATAGTTCTGAGACAGATAACACATTGTTCCATGAAGACACCATCTTAGATGGGGAGAAGATCCTGCGCACAGCCGAGTTCGCGCCATACGTCGTGTTCATCGCTGCACCACCGTTGAACAACGACGCCGATATGAGTATTTTTTAACAGATTTCTATTGGTAAGTTCCTAACACCCGTGAAAACAACAGGAGTCCTAGTATCTACCGGTTGGCAGCCAATTAAAAACCAGCGAAGGAGGTCCAGTCCCGGGTATTGACTGTCTTGGTATACTTATAAACTCAGTACAAGGCTGTCGCCCACCAAACCCCAAGGCGTGGGTTCGAATCGTATCTGGATCTGGAGTAGATTCCTATAATTCTGTCAGAATAAAATCTTTGTAAAAGTAAAAATAATTAATTCTAGATCAGGCTAGCAGTGTGTTACTTCGATAGTGAGTGTAGTGGAAGTTAATTAAATGAAAGAGTGGACTGTATACAATTAATTGTCTATTCGGTATAAATTAACAATGATATTGAGACCGTTTAGTGCAAAGTCGTTGAAGAGAGTGCGTCAGGATCGTCTTCTTCGATGTTCGCTCGCGAACCGAACATTGCTCGTTCGTTCGCCGAACGCTCGCCGCTCCCTCCGGTCACGCCGCCCGCGGGCAATGTCCGTGAGTAGACACAGTGCTAGCCTAATATAAACCTCTATCTAAACTAGTACAGGGTAAACTAATGTAGTACAGTTCACGCGTGTTTTGAATGCAGATTTATTTGAAACATTTTTTCAAGTACTCTACTTTGAACTCTTTTTTTGCATGACAAGGCAGGTATTTGACCGCTGTTTGTTATTTATGTGTTCATTTTCTCACAAACATCTTCGTTTCCAGTACGACGGCTCGCTCGAAGTGCTGGTTCGTGAGTCGGAGCAACTCCGGCGGACTTACGGCCATTACTTCGACCTGAACATCGTGAACAACGACATCGACGACACCCTCGGACAACTAGAATCTGCCCTGGCTAGACTCCGCTCGAACCCGCAATGGGTGCCCGTTTCTTGGGTTTACTGAGCAACCCCGGACTTGACAGACTGCTGTTTGGCCGGAATCCGCGGAGAGTATCGAGTTTAGTTAGCAAAACATTTCTATCCAACGCCTAGGGCTGTTATTCAGCTTCTATTAATATTACACACAGTCTATCATCGATGTTGGGTAATTCGCGGAGGTTCGAGGGCTCATTCCTGCGCAAATTTTAAGCAGCTAATTTGAGCAAGAATTTGATAGAATTTGCTGATACGTTTCGACAAAATTTTAATAGAGCGCGCGGCCATTTATGCTCTTTTGGAATTTTGTCTTGAAACCTTCAAGCATTTGTTTCAGATTCATGCTCAATGTAGCACAGCTCCCGACTTGTGAAGTAAATTAATAGACGACTGGTGCGACCCCTGATGACGTTTTTATAGAATGTTAGTAACTACTATCAATACGCCGCTCATTTTGGAGCTAAACGCAGTCAGTATGATGTTAGTGATTTACTTCATTAACATCGTACACCTTCTCGATTTTACTTTTACGATGTACAGCCAAGAAAGTTCGAGAAATGTGGGTTCTTGGATTTTCACGCTCACATCGTGGGTGATTTTGGCCATCATTTGTTTTATTTAAAAAAGTATTAGGACTTGCATGCTCTGCACTGATCTCAGTCTTTACGGCGTATTTAATCGCGGATCATGTGAATGTACATTGGGTTTATTGCTTCTCAATTTGCATTCATCTGATTTTGCATCAAATTATTTAATTTGATTCTTTTATTTTAAATCGGTAGTTTTTTGAGCCGGCAACATTTAGTTTTGGAAGACCTTTGGTGTTGCCGACTTCAATGACTTCCCATATTAAATTAATTAATTTTCTATAATTTGAGGTGTCCGTTTTGTTAGATTTGACTTTGAATTTTTGTTACTGATTGTTTCTCTTGCGTTCACACTCGGACCTTAGTTCTAGCAAGTAATGTGATATTGTCCTCTAAGTGTCACATTACTGACCGGAATATATTCCGGGTTTAATTTTTTATTTAAAACATTAAAGCTTTTTTTTCACGATGGATTACAGATTGAGACGATGTGCAGCGCAATGTATGGTCTGAGGCTATTATAATTTAATATTATCTTTCATTATTTGGCCAACCAAAATGACGACGAACTACTACTTATATCTTGGAAAAACCTGTAATTAAGTTCCTAATTTTCACAAAAATAGGGTTTTAATACTTCCCCACATAGTAATTAAACCTTATTTTTCAGAATCTAGCTTTAAGATATTTAAGATTGGCCCGATGTTGCGAACGAGCTCCGTGACATTAAGTCCCGATCTAAATTATGGTTTTTGGTTTCCCGTCTATTTCTGAATATTATTTTTCGTATTATACGTTTAGCAGTTATATCTTTAGGTTTCATAGTTTGAATTCCGTTTTGTTACTTCAGCATTTCCAAGAATGTAAGATCCAACCATCATAAATGGCGTAGGTCAATTTTATGTCAACCGCCGCGGGACATAAAATCGATGATACAAGAAAAAAAGTTTTCACAATTAAATTGGTGCCGATACCGATACGAACACACGATTGCCCGTAATAATATACAAATAATTTTCACTTAGTGAGTATAACAAAATTGATGATTAAATTCCGTTTTGTTACTTACTCATCTTTTGTGGCAAAACAAAATTAATGGAAAAAGTTTTAACATTATAAGTGTTTACCCACAGTCAGAAAGGCATTCTTTATTCCTTGTTAAATGCCTGCTGAAAACATATTTTATGATTAGGATTATCAGATCTGAGCTCCGTAGACCTGATAGTTTAATCAGAAAAGATTTTGCACATTTTTAACTATTTTCTCATTAATCCCTGCAATACTGCATTCACGAGTGCCAACTACTACGGGCTATAGTAATTGGCACTTACTGTGAAAATAATGCAGGAGTTATCAGCAAAATAGTTTATTTTTTTTTATTAATATTCATATTATTTAAGTAAGTATAATTTTATTTACAATGGTCTGATAAAAGTCAAATGCAAACCTCTTTGCTTTTTTGTGATTTTTTAAGATGTTAATTCACAGAAAAAGCTTGGGGTATGATCTTTGCACGACCATCCAAAATATTAACATTTTGTTGACTAATTTTCTGTTAATTCCTGCAATCATCAGCCTTTGTAAGTATCACCTACTACGGACTGTTTTAGTTGACACTTATGTGAAATGCAGGAACTAACAGAAAATTTATTTTAATTTTGTGTTAATTTTCATATTATTTGTAATTATTTTCAATGGTCTGATACGAATCAAATGCAAGCCTCTTTGCTTTTTTTGTGATTTTTTAAGATGTTAATTCACAGAAAAAGCTTAGGGTACCATCTTTGCACGACCATCAAAAATATTAACATTTTGTTGACTAGTTTTCTGTTAATTCCTGTAATCACCAGCCTTTGTAAGTATCCCCTACTACGGACTGTTTTAGTTGACACTTACGTGAAATGCAGGAACTAACAGAAGATTTATTTTAATTTTTGTGTTCATTTTCATATTATTTGTAATTATTTTCAATGGTCTGATAAATTAAATGCGAATCTCTTTGCCTTTTTTGTGATTTTTTAAGATGTTAATTCACAGAAAAAGCTCAGAGTACCTACCACCTTTGCACGACCGTTCTGGTAAACATTATATTGTTTTTCTAACGTTTATATTTATTAAACTTATATTTTTGACAGGGTTAAATTAAATACCTGTTACACATTGAGCTCAGCTCGTACGCAGGTATTTAATATGAAATGGCATTTACCCAGTGGAGTTAAGAATTCCTTTTACCATCATCCCTTAATGTCTTTTTTGATGATCTATAATAATGTCGAGATATCATAGATGGTTAAATAACACATTAAGGCCTGGTTCAGACACGCGTGATAACCGCGGTTTCTGGGTGGTTCTCATTGACGATGCACTGGGGCGGTAACCGTGTGGTAACGTTTAGAGGTAAAATCTACAAGAACTTATAACCTCGCGGTTGTCGATGTCTAAACCGGCACTAACGTGTTTAAATACCTGTTTGTAGTAGCTCGCATGCAGGTAGTTAAACATAAACAGGGTATAAACACAGAAAAGTCTGGATTAGTCATCTTTGCACGACCATTCACATATTCATTTTTAACGTCAACATTATTTTTCTAATTATATCGTTTTATTTATTGTCTTCACACATTTTGTGAGTAATGAATGTTAGTTAAGAGTTCGGACTCATGTTCATTACCTACTTTGACTAAATGCCTTTCTGGTGCTTGTCATTTAACATGTTTAAATATCTGTATGTTTTAAGGAACGTAGCCAGGTATATAAACATGAACAGGAAGCGAATACACAGAAAGGTCTGGAGTCAATTTCTTTGAACGGTCCTGCCGTTCACACGATTTAATACATCTTAAATTTACCCGGATAAAACACCTTATGGTTGTCTTTTATTGCATAATTTGAATTATTTGTGTGTTGCTGTGGCATTACAGATATTCAATAAGCAAAACAAGATAGCAGTCAGGTGTTTTTATCATGCGTTGTATTCATCAATAGAGTCAGGTATTCTGCATAAATCCATGACTTATGAAAACTAAAATTACTTTCTCTAGTTTTCTCTATCAAAGTCTGTGTTTGTAAGTACCAAATACACTATCCGAACTCGTAACGCTGTGAAAAGGCATTGGCATTTTGGGAGGGTGGGTGGTGTCATATGCCTAATCATAGACATCGAGCTGAGTTGGTGCAGTTGGTACTTACTTCTACTAACATTGGTTTGCGATAATTAATAGCAGAGTAATTTTAGTTTTCATTAATAAGCTAGTGGTGAGCTGTAAGTTATTTTTATTAATCAATATTACGTTGGTTTTCCCGCACTTTTTCAAGAAAATATTGACTGTTTTGCTAATTAACTATGACATTTATATTCGGCGCTGCATTGTGTTGGGGGCGTTGGGGCTCATCTCAATGTTAGTATGGAATATGAAAGCACTAGTTTGGTAAGGCAAGTTATATATTTTTATTTGATTTGCTTACTTATAATAATTTTCATGATTCATCGCCTGTAAATAGCTTTTTTGATTTGGATTATTGTTGTGACTGTTCCTCCCCGTGCAGATACAGCAAATAACCGAATCAAAACAAAAACTTTTACTTGGTTACATTATTGTTCTTTTGCTGATTTGTTATTTTAAACATTGAAATTATATTTATTTCCTTAATTTTTGTAACTACGACATTTATATTAGTTACTTGTTCGATTGGGCTCAGTATTGTACAAGTAAATAATACGAAAGGACTAGTTTGGTAAGGCTTACTTATTATTTTCATTGGTTTTAGTAAATATCTTTTTTGGTTTAAATTATCACTGTGTCTGTCCACTTCTTCGTTCAGATGCAACAGATGGTTCAAACGAAAAATGTTTTTTTCTTTGTTTAATTTTTTTGCTGTTTCATAATAATTACGCGGGAATTTACGAAACTTTTAAATTATATTTATTTCCTATTGTTTTGTTAAACTGACTTATGTTCGTTACATGTTTCCATTGATCCTAAAGGCAAGATCAATGTTGACAAGTAGATAATAATAAAAAAGGTGACGCATATTTTTTGATTTGGATTGTCAGTGTGTTCAAATCAAAAGGACCTTATTAAAAAAAAAGTTAAACCACGTATGAACACTGGTTTAAAATGACATATTGATTGAATGTCATATTAAACTAGAGTTCAACTTTTTGTTATAAAGGGGGAAACGTTTTTATTTACGTAACAATTGTTGTTTTCATTAGCTCCACTATGGTATCAGGAGTTCTGCAGAAAACCATGATTTTAAAATTAATTTGCTATTAATTCCCGTAGCCAGTGTAGATATTGGTAAGTACGAACTACATTAACTAAATCGCATACCGTGAATAGGCACACGTACGTTTTTGGTGGGAGGGTGGTGTAATTTGCCTATGCTTGTTCACGGTCAGTGAGTTCGGATGTTGTAGTAGGTACTTAGCTATGGAAATATCGGTTGGGAGATTTAATAGCACAGTAATTTTAATCCGTAAGTTTTACTTTTGTTTGTGGATAATGTCCATCAAGAACTTTTCTGTGTCTTATTTTGTGATGGTTTTAAGGCACAGAAAGATTATTCGATGCACTTCCATCAGGATGATCCATTAAATTACAAGTTTTCAGTTTAATCGAGTATTTTTTATTACTTTTTTTGTATAAATTTTGTAATTATGACTTTTTTATTCTGACCTGTATGTGTTGGAAAAATACAGTGTGGAATGTAAAAAGAGTAGCTATTTGATGGAATTTATGTTTATCATTATTACATCCGGGTAAATACCTTAATGCCTATTGAAAATATTTATTTATTAGTTTTGAATAATCAATTAGTGTTTTGAAACGCTCGCTCGAGACACAACATTGATTTTTCAGGAAGTTTGTTTTTAATTTTTTATATCTTATATTTTATTATAAACAATCATTTTGTGTTTTTGAGACACTGACACAACATTGATAATTCTATACATATTTTTATTTATTTGGATAACTCCTTGGACGTGTTGAAAGTTTTTTTCATGTTTATCAACCATTGGGCAATCAAACCTTAAAATTGTTCAAATTAATACCTCACAAATCTTCCATTTGGCTGGTTTTATTAGATTTTTTTTATTAAAAATGTGACTTGGAAACGGCAGATGACAAAAACAGACAATTAAGTAGGTACAAGCTAAAATGCTGACTGGATGCAGCAGCAGCAGGCAACGACTCGCCGCTATCAACCGTTTCCTGTATTTCTATGAATATAAACAACGGATGCTATTTCATATAAATACATAGAAACCTTTACCCTCTTACACACTTGTTGAACACTGTTTTAAAGTGACATCTCACATCGTCACTTTAAAACACCATACAACAAGCGTGTAATTAATAAAAAGTTACACACTTCTTGAACACTGTTTTAAAGTGACATTCCCAACCACTTAACGCCACTTTAAAACACTGTTCAACGAGTGTTTAATGTTTATTAGTAACAGGGTTAATGTTGCGGCAACATGTCGCCTGCTGCTGCTGCGTGTAGTCAGCTTCAAACTTATTACCATATTTTCAACACCTCTTTAAACTGCTATTGTATTGTGGTTGGATCTAATTCTGGCATTCTATTTATATTATTTTTTATTAAATACTTATAAGTGTGAGTTGGAAGTGGCAGTACAATGCAGACGATGACTACTACTTTGACCGCTGGCAACTACTAGTTTCCATGCCATTTGTTTGAAATTACTTTCGAACGAAGCGGCACCTTCGCCTGCTGCCATCGTCCAATTTACACTTTTAAGTAGAGTAAACCTGTAATGTCACGGTCTCTCGTAACATAAACAAGTACCTGCTAGTTGCGGGTTAGTCCACTTTCCCCATTGGTACTACACCCCAGTGAATTAAGTGGAATAACCCCTTGTTGCGAAGTGAATGGGCCGGAGTGGTCTGGAGTGGAGGAACGACTTCGCCCCAATAAAGAGAAGGTCACAGCTTCGATGAGATGGAATGGTGATTGTCACTTGTTTGCGATTTTAATTTCGTTGAGTGCACTAGGTTAGACCCGGGTTTCATCAAACACATAATTTAGCTAAGTCAGTTAATCGGAGGCGACATTAGCACGCTATCGCATGGCTAAGTTGACTACATTTGTCAACTTTGACTTGGAAGCGGCAAATGGGTCTGGTGATACCTACTTCCTACTGCACACGATGAGCCATGAAAATCAGAAACCATATACAAACATCTACTAGTATGCTTGGAGATTGCCAGTTTAGCATCTTCAAACATTGCCGTCTCATCGTGGCTTTTGTACATATTTGTATAAATAGTTTCACTATGTGTCTTTTCGGACTCGTTGTAAGGTTGTGGCATTACTAGTTAGGGTCGATGGAACTGGCCCAAGCTTCACTCCCATGCTGGAGTGTTCTCACATCAATACGGGAGTCTAAGCTGACGCTAGCAACGCCATAACAGCCATAAGTTAAGTCTATTTTAAGTAAGGCGCTGTGGTGAGTACCTACCTACCTGTATTGAAAAATGGGATTCATCCCGATAACAACACTCTACACGAGTGTATTTTTTGGCCAGAAAATGTTGAGCTGCCAAAGGTCCTCTTACTTTGACAGCTCCAACTCTACACGAGTGTATTTTTTTGCTAGAAAATGTTGAGCTGCCAAAGGTCCTCTTACTTTGGACAGCTCCAAATTCTAACTGCTTTATGTCGACTCGCAAGAGACTGAAGAGCAATAAACATTCGAAAAATCGCTAAATATTTATAAATGTGTTAACTCGGTCGACAAAGCCAAGACTTCTTGCTATGCATTGAGATCTGCTAGCATATCTCGGACTGACATTATACACTTTAAAGGAATATTACTTTCTGACGCTAAAGAACACCATGCAAAGGTCAGACTCAGAATCAGAATTCCTTATGACATTACCTACTTTTAATACAATTAAGATAAAAATATTATCTTAAGTATCTAAGATTGAGAGGAGTAGCCAAATTAAAATAACCATATTGAATTTAATAGTAGTAAAGTTACGATGTGAATATTGGGGAGTACGAGTAGCACTTTGTACTATATTTATTTGATAAGTAAAGTTTTTTTGAAAATATTTTATTGATGTTGTCACTTTTTAAATATTTAAGACGTCACATTATTTTCCTGCAATATTATTGTATACAATTTTGTTGCTATTTATTAAATTCTATTGCGATATTCATTCCGGATTGTGAGATGTTTTTTGCCTTATAACTCTTAATTTAGTAGAGAATTTAATTCTCAGTTTTATACTTATTTATGGAAATAAAGTATATTTAGTTACTTTAAGTTAAAAAGATAATTTTGGCGTTGTGCTGATGATTTACTAAAATTATTACTTTATTTTATGAGTTTTATACTTAATTTAAACTGACTTATGGCGAAGTATACGACTATACGTATTTCGGTACGAGAATAACAAATAAATGCCACTACCACTGGCATCACCAATCGCCATTGAATTTCTTTTAGTTTAAGAAGTCTTAATTTGTTAAGTGTAAAATTCAATTTGTTAAGTGTAACATTCATTTGTTGAGTTTAACAATTCATACCTACTTATGTTGTGTTATTATACTTAATTTCAATTTCATTATCTTTCTTTTGGGCTGATGGCTCAGTAAAACTTAATAAAATAAAAATAGTATAATTATGTGGATGTGAGTTAGGTAAAATTATTTAAATTTTCAATTACGTTAGTGCTGCTCCTATAAGGAACGGATGTTTGTGAGAGTCTATATACTAGGATAATACTAATTTTATTATTATTAAATTGAGAATTTTAATGTTATGAACATCATTAATGTCTGATCGGTAACATTCCATTGTAAGTATTTTTGTTTATTTATATAAATTTTTAGATTATTATGAATTGTTTTCATTCAGTTATATTATTTTCAGTACGTGTAAAGTCATTAGTTCCAAATAATGTGATTTCGTTAATATTTTTTATTATTTAAGCCATTCGTTGTTTGTATTATTATTGTACTTAAGTTTTATTGTTTAAATTTTGATGTCTGGTGCGATTTAGTTCTTGTGGTTTTATGTTCAAACTATTTCATAATAATGCAACCATAGTGAATTTAATAAAAATTCGGTAGAAAATATTGTAATGTAATTAAAAAGTTTAAATGTAAAATCACATGAAGTCAAACGAATAATAAACCATAGTTAAAACTCTATCTACCTACTAATTTTAATCTAAATTATATTATTTGCTCTACATTTGAATGGGAAGGTGTTGGGATACTCACACACTTATATTTGAATGTAGCACAATATTAGACACATCAAAATTATTGTGAACGTATCTTAATTAACACAAAAAACGACAGCATTATTAGATTGAAAAAACAACTAAGATGACTGAAAGTAAAATCTTATTAAAACTGTTAAAATTGAATAAATCGCACAAAATAATAAAAACGTCTTTTATTTATTTATTCTTACACCTAACAACATCTAGGTCAGACTCAGAATGGTTCGGACGTTAAGCTGATAAAAAAATAATATTAAAACTATTTGGAATTCCTTGACCTTGCTTGCCATGCTCCGAAGTCCGAACAGACATTATGGATACTGCCGCCATATGCTCCAGTTAGTTATTAACCTCTTAGTTAGTTATTAAAATTATCTTGCGTTTAAAAAAAAATAACTTAATTTCGACGGGTTCACCCAATGTCTAACTGTAACTCAGATGGTTTAAGGTTCGACCAAACCAACGCGTGCAGCCCGCGTGAGCGATGGCGATGCTACTGTGCTACCGATTTCTACTGATCGCCATCGCGCACGCAGGCTGCACGCGTTGGTTTGGCCCAACCTTTAGAGCCAGCAAGCAAAAGGTCGTGGGTTCGATTCCTAGTCCTACCTTAGTTTTCCAAAGTTATTTAAAATCCAACCTACTTAGCCTACTGATTAAATTCACCACTGATACATACCTATAAAGGTCTCTACCCACTACACCGTATCATACCATGACCGTGCTAGGAACGTGTCAGGCAAATAAATGTTATTTGTATTGAAAAGTATGACACTGTTCCCAGTAGACCGTTTCGTCACCGACCAAAACCGTCGCGTGCCATGCACGGAGCGTCAACAAATTAATGTTGCACAGAACGCCGTCGATCCGTTCAGTGGGCATAGTAGAGCGTATCGTGTTGCTTTTTGTGCCTCACACGTTCCTAGCACGGTCATCGCATGATACGGTGTAGTGGGTAGAGTCGCCAAGGAAGCGGGAGTCTAAAAATGCGGGGGGCTGGTGTGGTGATGGTGTGAATGGTGACTACAAATAGCTGCAGAAAATGGAAACCACCAACCTGCAGATCTGGAAACGGAGACCAAGCTCGAGGGTCGATCCGTCACATTCACAAATCCATGTCGTTCAAACAAACGAGAGCGGCCAGCGGTTTTTTCGCATATTTTTTTACTAAAGTTTATCGCGTGGAGTGACGCACATTGGCCAGTTAAGTACTTGCCGATAAACAGATCGGCGGGAAACCAATTTATGCAGCCAGCTAATCAAAGAAATATTTGGAGTCAATGTAGGAAAGGAAGTTTAAGATATAGAGAAATGTATTAGAGTTTGGCCATAAGCCCAACCATCTACACTTATTGCAGTCTACTATGTAGTCTCAAAAACGCTTCATCCAACAACGTACAGTTCCGGTTAGTCTGAATTTTGCTTGTACCTACCTATTTTGTTTCTTGCATTGTTTTTAATCTAAGATGGCGAGACTCTGATTTTTACTGCAAAGCCAAAGACGAGCGTGTGGTTTTTCCAATAAAAGACGATATTTTCCAAAATCAAGTGTTCATATTTCGTTCACAAGATCCCACAACATTTTTGGAGGCAACTATTAAACAACAGTGGGTCACAACACAATATGCCGTACCTACCCGAAAGAGAATTAATAAAAAAAATACCTAAACAAATTATTGTAACTAATAATAAAATACCAGTAGAGTTGAAAACTACCTGGAAAGTTTCCATAGACCCTGGACCACCAGTTTAATATAATTTCCTTTCGGTACGATCAGTGCCCCCGCCAAGTCGAGCGCGAAGCAAACACTGCCGTACCATCCTTTACTGGAACCATTTCGCCGCATTTTCAGGCCCCTATTTGAGAACCTCTGGATAAGACCAGAACGCAGAAATTTTCGTCATCTAGTAAGCTATAATCACATACTTTAAATCCAAAATTTCAAGTCTGTAGGTCATTTAGTTCACAAGTTAAGCGAAAGCAAAGTTTCGCATTTACGACACTCACTCACTGATGATCATCAAAATAGAACTAGTACTTCCCATTAACTCAGAGGGCTGAAATTTGGTACAGAGTTAGGGTTTAATGGCCACATAAAGGGAAAACTATAAAAACTAGGAAAATCGAAGATCTGGAGTAACCACATTCATAATCAATACTACTCCGGCCCCGTGGTGTTCGCCTGTATCGCTCACCGCTAGATGGCGCTAGCACTAGCAAGCGGTGTCCAGATTTTTTTCCTTTCTAGAGAAAGTCGTCGATTAAGTTGAATGTTGTGTAATTTGCATTTCGTTGATTTCGTTTATTATACTGTAAGGTTCGCTTAGGTTATGTTATAATTAAAAACAATCTGATTCGTTGTCCATTTTAAAGGTCGTTGAGTTTATTTGTGTTTAATATCGTAAAAAATTCAACGGCCAAGTCACACAACATTAACTATAATAATAAAGAAATCGCAGTAAGGAACCATAGACTTGGCACGACTTTGTCTAGATTTCATTACTTTTTAGAGATAAACAAGCAGCTCCATCGAGACTTGGCTAGTTTTTTACAGAATGTTTTTGGTGGGATAATGTTGTCTTTATTTCACAATGGCTAAAAACTATTTTCCATTGCTGTGAATAGGATCATACATACTCTGTGGTTTGACACTTGCAATTTTTGACAGGTCTAGTGAAGTAGCTACATAACCGATTTTCATATGTATCGATTTAATAATATTAATTGATTGATTACAGGATGGAAACGATAGGTGTGATCTCAATCGATTATTTCTAAACTATACAAGATATCGAAAAACTGGACCCTGAAAGTGCTTCACGAGCTCTTTCAAATAGTATCAATATTATGTTACATAATAAACTAGATCTATCTAAAATTCCATATCCATACATTTTGTAAAACCACTTAAAAACTCAAGCACATTTTAATTAGTTTTTATATTATCATTGAATTATTATTTTACACAATGAATAGATAAGTTTCCTCAACTTGAAAAGTGATGCTACGTATCTTATTTAATAAAATTAATTTTAACAAAAAAATTCAAACCGACTCCAAAAACCTGCACTAAAAAGAAGAAAATAATAACATGATTTATTTATTAGGACAAATGTATACCATGATTGAATTATTCTCGGAGTCAGCGCCAGCCTGCTTGGCACCGACAAGAAGTGTTCTAAATTTATAAGCACCGACTCCAAAAATATCAATCATGGACATCATTAGCAAGCTGAAGTGGCAATGGGCAGGGCACATAGTACTCAGAACTGACGGCCGATGGGGCAGCAAGGTTCTGGAATGGAGGTCGCGTACCGGAAAACGCAGCGTGAGACGTCCACCAACAAGGTGCACTGATGACATCGTAAAGGTAGCAGGGAAGCGATGGACGCAGGCCGCTACCAATCGATCAACTTGGAAAGCATTTCGGGAGGACATGTTCAGCAGTGGACGTCTGGCTATGGCTGAAATGATGATGATGATGATGAAATAAATAATGTAATTATTTCATAAGAAGGTTATGTAGACATCAAAAATAGGAAATTTTCTCTAGTTTTAGTTTCTCTGATCATGTTTTGGCATAAAATTAATCCGAAAGGAAACATTTAAGAAAACCTGCTACTAGGCAGCATTTTTCCAATATGGCGGCACGAGCGGCAACCATACGAGGTCGCAAAGTTGAAATAAAATTTGTAAAGAGCACATCAAAATCTATAGAAATACCAATTTTCAGTACTCGCGGAAAACGTTCCAGCTAAAGCCATTATTTTGTACCAAATGACTGGACTGTAATACTTGAATTACTTTAGAATAACATAATAATTATGTACATAATATTATGAAAAACCTAATATTATTATATGCCAATAAAATTTGAGGTTTGCCCTTGATTTCCCTAGGACCCATCATCAGATCCTGACTTGGTGGCAATGGGACCACATTAGAAGTGTACCCTATCGAACAAAAAAATAATTTTGAAAATCGGTCCACAATTGACGGAGTACACCTAATCGGTGAACATACATAGAAAATAAATACATACAGCCGAACATAAATAGACTCCTCCTTTTTTCTCTCGGTTAAAAATATAACATAATACCACAGATAATATAATACATAATACCAACAATAATAGAAATTCTAATAGCTAGATTGTACTGGAAACATCTTGATTTGGATATTCGTTCCTTATGAATAAGTCACACTGTTAACTATCCATTTCCGTTTTTGCTCTGGCTCTCATCAAATGGTGATTCTTTGCGATAGAACGAGACGAGGCAATGGGTAATTAACTTTGCCGATAGTACATTAAAATGTTTATTCGGATAAGTGGTATCTTTCTTTACATCGATTAAGATCGGAAATATTTTCGCATCACTATTGTCAAGTGTGACTTTGTGACGTCATTGTCGTCATTTGTCACATCGTTGTTTGTTGTATGAAGGTGATTGTTTGAGTGTAATTTATTTATTTTCACGGCATTTTAAATTATTTCGGAACGATAATTATTGTTTTTGACTTGTTTATTCAGTTAAAAGAATATACATAGCAAATAATATCAAGTATAACCTTTACCTTGTTGTGATCTTGTGGGATCTGTAGATCAGAATGGCTCAGAGGGAACGTCGCTCCAATGCTGGGAATCGCATGGCAAAGCTGTTGGACGAAGAGGAGGAAGATGATTTCTACAAAACCACGTACGGTGGCTTTCAGGAAGTAGCTGAGGATAACGATTATGTGTAAGTTCATTCAAAATTTTGGAGTATTTTTGTATGAAATCTCATTAGGTTTCGTTCATTAGGCTTGTTTTGGACTATAAAATGAAATAGAAAATGATGCTCACACAGTAGTAGGTACATTTCAACTGTACCCTCTGACCCCAGAGGAATATTGTAAAATATACTTGCCTGTTTGTGAAAAAATCATACAAATTCAGACACTATGAAAGAATTAACCTATATTAAATAAAGAAATGATTGTTATTATTTTGAATATTTAACATTTCAGTCAAGAAAAAGAAACGGAGGATGTGGTGGACTCCGATTTTGATATTGATGAAAATGACGAACCGGTGTCTGATCAGGAAACCGATGAAAAGCAGAAAAGAAAAGTTGGCACTAAGGCATATAAGGTAATTTATATTAAAATGCTAAAGAATTGTGGATTTGAGTGAACTAATGCTCTGAAATATACATCACTAAAATACCACAAAATTTCTGTGGTAAAATACCACAGACTTTCTGTGGTATTTATGCGATTCATACTAGCTATTCAATGAATGACATTGTCATATTCTTATTGCAATCATTAACTATTAGTAATTAAGATTGTTAATGATCCGTTAGTATTTAATGCCATTAAAAACGGCTTTGTTACATTTTTAAGGTAAATCTAGGAAAAACAGCAAAAATTACAACAAATACTTTAAGACAGTGAAGGATTTGTGTATCTACTGGATAATATTGTTCTTGTAGGATCCCAACAGGAAGAAGAAAGTAGCAGGAGCATCAGCAGCAGTAGACAAACCAAAAAAAGTCATTGTAAAGAAACCAAAGGAACTGAAGCCAAAAGAAGAAAAGGCTGATAAATCAGAAAAATATGCTGATATTTCTTTTGGTAAGATTTTGTATTATTTTCCAACCAATTCAAAGTTAGCTTGCTAGTGCAGTAAAGTGTAGAACAGTAAAATAGCATTAAGAAATCGATTTTGAATGCAGTAGGTATAAATAAGGTCAATTGGTTATTGTTCATTGATATCTATGCAGAAGTGGTTTAGTTACTTGTTAAATGACTTTTGCCTTTGTACAGTGCGTAATACAGTAGGTACACATGCAATATGACTAAAAATTACATTACGTAGGTGTGCATCTTCCCTTTGGTTATCATTAAAATGTATTCACTATGATTTCAGGGCGCAAATCAATCAGGCAGAGTACAGCGGTAAAGTCAGCAGAAACACTGCAGAGAATCAAAATCCGGTCCGAACTGAAAAAGAAGAAACCAAAGAAAATCGAGGAAAAGATGCCCACACAAGAAGAATTGCTAGAAGAAGCCCTTGTTACAGAAAAAGAGAATTTGAAGAGCTTAGGTAATGTAAAAAATAGTTAAATAGATTTGTACATCATTGAGGCATTATTTTTCTCATTATTCTATTTTTCTTCTTGTTGTGTCGACAACAAACCTACACAGTGTCAGCCCAAAATTCCGCCACAAGAGTGGCGTTGTCAGTAGCCTTCATTAAATCTTCCTGCAGTTGTTTGGGCACGCAGGGCATGACATCATGTGCTTCGTCGACTGGGGAACAAATTTATCTTCATTGAGCTACAACTGTTTTAGCTGTGGTTGTTAAACCTTCTTGGGGTGTTTTAATGTGAAAATCTTAGCTCAAAGTAGCAGTCATAACAGAAGAATAGTCTAAAATAAAAAAACACTTACCTACAGCTTGTTTCCTTATGTTTCAGAGAGGTTTGAACAAATTGAATTGGAGAGAAAGAAGATACGTCCTACAAAGAAAACGATTACTGGTCCTGTTATAAGGTGAGAATAATTTGTTTTAAGATTAATTTTTTATTTAAGTTACTGAAGATTGAATTTATTTCAGGAGGCATACTTAATTATAATTCCATAAAATGTCCATGATTATGAACATTATAACTTGGTTGATTTTGTCTGTGATCTTAAAATAAGTGTGTATCTTTCAGATATCATTCGTTTTCTGTACCGATTTCAAATCCAGACGATGAAAAGACAAGTTTAACGCCGATAGCAGATCTCACGCTAAGTGACATCATCAAAAGTGAAGAAGGTAAGTGTATTTTGATACTTACATTGAATTTATAAAGTTTAATATCCTTTGAAGACATTCATTATTGGCAATTTAAACTACTGGCGACTAAACTAAAGGCGCCAATGAAGGCTATCGTTTTTATAGCAAGTGACTTACTCTACAGTAGCGCCATCCTGGCGAGAGCAAGCAAATGCGATAGTCCTCCCTACCGCTTTAGCGATCACCAGTATCTCTAGCACGAAAAACTTTCGACTTCGAATCGTTTGCGTATTCGAATCGCCATCAAAAGATTTAGTACGAAAACTAAAACAGCGCCCTTGTGAAAGTGTCATAAGGTGAACTTGGTATGAGAAATGGTTGCACGAAACTTATTTTGACCATCAAAATTGTCACGTTATCGTTTAATTCGAAGGTTGAGTATCGAGTTTTGTCGAATACGCAAACGATTTGAAGACGAAAGTTGTTCATGCTAGAGGTACAGTTATGATTTTCTTAGCCACGAACACGTGACATTACCTTACTCTAAAGTGGCGTAAGTTGGCGCCAACTGATAGACCTTATTCGGCGCCAACTAGAAGGCGCAAATACGGACTCCGACATTTTCTATAATGAATAATATTTATTTATTTCATAGGCTTTCTGCCAGATGAAAATGCAGACGTGTCAATGACAGATCTGAAAACTGAGACAGACGAATTCGCTAAGACTGATACCAAAATTGATGTGGAAGTTATCGGCCCGGATGATGACTTGGATGTTGAATCTTTGCCGTAAGTAATTAAATACATTAACGATTCTTTACATTGATAACGTCTAAAAGATGTTAAGTTACTTTTTATTTAAATAAATGATTTGATTTGATTTGATTAAGTATTTGACGATTTGTAGGTTTTTCATCAATGATCCCAATGATTTCCATGATAATGATCGGTTGGTTAGGTTAGGTAACCTTTTTGAGTTCGTCGGTCCACCTTGTGATCGGACGTCTTATGTTGCGCTTTTCCGTACGTGACCTCCAGTCCAGAATCTTGCTGCCCCATCGGCCGTCAGTTCTGCGTACTACGTGCCCTGCTCATTGCCACTTCAGCTTGCTGTTTGTGTAATGAGTGCAATTTGTATGTGATGCCGAAATTGTAGTTTTTATTCTATCTAAAGTGTTTTTGGATCTAAAAAGCTAATAATTTATCACTGATATTTCAGTAAAGCAGAAAAGCCGGACAAACCTAAGAGCAATCAAGTGAAACACTACGAGCGAACGTTGCTATCTTTCGAAAACGACATCAAAGACAGAGCCTTCCGCTCTTGCTTCCCCAAGAGGCCGGTCAAGAGGAGGCGGGAACTGCTGTGCGCTGTCACTAAGTATGTATTAAATTATTATCTATATTTGTTTTGTCTTTATTCCTTGGAAGAAAATGTACTAATGGCCAGCAGGCATTCTCTACCAGTCAACCACAGATCAAAGAGAAAAAGTAAATAAACAGATAACTTACTATAACTGCTGCATGGATACCTATGCTGCTGTCTATCTATTAACATAATATCTATTATCTTTTTCGCCTTTAGTATTTCGATTTTATGATTTGTATTTTGGACTCTTGATCCAGAGGTCCTAGGTCAATTTCCAGATGGCACACACAAGTTACATGTGAATGTAATTTTAATCAGATTTATGTGTGTTATGCAAGTTTTCACCATGAATCCTTAATTTTTAAGTGACGTATGCTAACACTTAACAGGAATTTATTTTTCATAGGGGTCACTTAAAAATTACGGCTTGATGGTGAAAACGGGCATTAGACGCCTATGGCGGCATTACGTGGGTATGGCACCAGTGATGTTACTTCAGTTTTTGTAAAGTATTGTAACAAGAAAGAATTTTTAACACTAAATGCGTACTTTGTTAAATAAATACCTTTATTGTATTTATTTAATTAAGTACTCAATTATTTTAATTTACTCATTACAGGAGGCCAGCCCGCTACATAGACCCGATCACCAAACTGCCGTACAGAAGCGTGGACGCGTTCAGAATCATACGGGAGGCGTATTACCAACAGCTTGAGGCTCGAGGTGACAGATCCGACCCACAAACGGCAGCGTGGTTGCAATGGAGAAGAGCCGACGCGGCGTCTACATACGTCCAGATACATATCAAGTGAAACGGAGATTATAATGGTTAGACTAGTTCCAGGCATTGACCCCAGCGTTAGATCCATAAAGTTATGTCCAATGACCCTAAGCTACCCATCCTTATCGCTCGCGCGTAATTATATTGCTGACGCGCTCGCACACTCACTGCGGGCGACCGTCGCACAGTCGCGACAGCGATATAATTACGCGCGAGCGATAAGGATGGGTAGCTTGGGGTCATTGGACAAAATTCTACGTGCTCACAGACCGGGCTTTAGCGGAATAGAGCAACAAAGAACTGAGCGAGCGAGATGACACTAGCACTGTGTAAAAAAAAAGATGCGTGATGCCGTCGCCGTCACGTCAAACAAACGTTTTTGCAACTATTTGACAGCTCGTTAGCACTTATTTTCATGCTGAAAATATGAACTCTGATATATTTTCAGATTTTACGTGGTGACTGGTTCAATAATTGATTTATTGTACAAAACAGTGAAATAATCCTGACACTGTGACACACAAATGACATCCATTGTCATAAAAAAAATGGTCAGCTCGTGGTTGTTGCTTTATTCTGAAGGAATATTATCTTTATGAGCTATCGTGACTTTTAACTGTAACTTTATAGAGAAACGGGTTGGACTAGGGACGTTGGCGTTGGGGTCAACCAGCCTAAGACCGTATACAGAAAGAAAGCTGGAAACTTATAAGCGCTTATGTTCCCAAAGGAAGCAAGTTAAATGGCATTTTATATGGCAGCGTCCAGTGCTGACCAGCGCGTGTTGAAACTTGTCGGCGCCGATCAATGCTTATCGGCGCGCGTTCATATACTTTCCTGCGCGGATTACCAGCGCTGTAGCTTTCTTTCTGTATACGGCCTTATAGTAAATGTACCGGTAGATGGCGTTGTTCAGATGACATCAATTTCAATTATACCTTTATGTAAGTGTAACAAGTGATATTTTGGAGCAAAATTTACTACGCTTATAATGTATTGACTGAATAGTCCCGTTTTAGTAGATATGTAGTCTAGAATCTGTATAACTATTGGTGATGCGGTTGTGTAAACTAAATATTGAGACTTGTATAAAAAAGGACAGCATTAAATTCTTCTAATTCAATTTATTTTCGGCTTATATTTTTAGTCTCTCTGGGCTTATATTAGTATCAATTAGGATTTTGGAGTGAATGCACTTTAATTGCAATATAAAGGGATCTTTTGCATGCTACATATCATTTTTATGAACAAATGTAATGTAATAGCTTTCAGTATTGTATATTATAGACAATTTGTAAATAAACTGTAAATATCAAAACTATTTGTTTCAAGAAACATTCCTATTAATTTAACACAGGTGCGACTGTACTCAGTGTTGCACTATCAAATGCAATTGACGCGCCTCTATGCCAGGGTTTTTATGTTCCTGGTCAGGCTATACCTATTTTGTTTCTTGTTATTTACCAAATGCATTGTTTTTTAGGCAACTATTTAACAACAGTGGGAACCATATTTCTGTGGTGGGAATAAGTTTTAAGTGGGATCAAGCCCCACAATCTGCCGTACAACGTACCCGAAGGAGGAATAATAAAAAAAATACCTAAACAAATTATTGTAACTAATAATAAATAATAAAATACGAGTAGAGTTGAAAATTACCTGGAAAGTTTCCATAGACCCTGGACCACCAGTTTAATATGATTTCCTTTCGGTACGATTAAATATTTTCTTTATTTCACAACGGCTAAAACTATTTTCCATTGCTGTGAATAGGATTACATTTACATACTCTGTGGTTTGACACTTGCAATTTTTGACAGGTCTAGTGAAGTGAGCCACCTCCATGAAGCTACAGATAAAAATGGAGGGCAGAGTTTGGAACAAAACTTGAGTCAAATACCTACTTATATCTATCTCGCTCTCTGCGGCCCTACCTCTCTTTTTAGTGTGAACTGTAGTATTGCTATCTTCTGATTTAAATCTCCTTGTAAATTCTTCGAAATAGCCAATACACTAACCAAATCAAAAGTTAAACAAATAAATAATTAATATTTGAAACTAAGATTACCTAGTTAAATAAAAAATCACAAAATTGTCGGCCATTTAGGCTTAATGTGTTGGCGAATCAGGGAATTACAATCCCAATTCCTGGGTAATCGGTACCATGTGGCAACATCGGCCCAATCCGGCCCATCATGGCGGTTGTTTACTATTTTGTTTATTAAGCAGTTAATTTCGTTTGAGATTGTTTACAGGAAATAATCATTGTTTTATCACAAGAATTGGTGCAAAATTTTGTAGTGCGTGGTTGCGGTAGTACGTGCTGTCCTGGAAGTGACATAAGATTCCACGCGTAAGTGTTTATTTCGTGATTTCCGACATTGGATCATTGTAAACATTTTTCACATTTTTTACAGTAATTTCTTCCTAAAACGTTTTACCAGTAAAATTGTAGAAACATAATAAGAATGATGTAATTGGCACATACTGCACTATTACTGTGTAGCAAATTAAGTAAGCGCGAGTATTCACGTAATATTAAGTTATTATGTGCTCTTACTGCTAACATAGTATGTGAAGAAACCTACAATCTGCTCTTTACTGCGTTTATGATAATATGTATCTTCCGTTCTAAGATAGATAGAAAAAAACGGGTCTTTGATTCTTATAGATCGCGATGTCAGGATTCAGAATATTCAAAACAATCATAAATGCAGTAAGTGGTACTTACTGCGTTTATAAATTGTGCGGCAGGAGAGCGCACCGGAAAAATGGCTGCGTTTCTTGACCCCGTCACTGGACGTCGTAAGTAATATTTATTTTATTGCAATTTTCGTAGGAATTCATTGATATTTTGATTGTATTACATCATTGAGTGTATGATGCATCTGAATAACTATAAATTTCTTCTATATTCTAAGCAATTACCGATTAAATTTATGAAAAAAATACCAGCTCACTATCGTGATATCTGGGTTGCAATTGTACCAACGCATGATCGTGAATTTATTAATTTTTAAGTTATTTTTCGATATTTGCCATTGAACAACGACCTCGTTTTGGGCTTCCTCGACGAGGGTGACTGTTCCGAGTTGGACTTTGTCGATAACGACCAAGAGATTTTCCCTCCACAGCCGAAAAATGATGAAAAAGGTGAAGTTGATCCTATCCTCTCCGCCTCACCCATCTGTGGCTGCTGGGCAATTGAATATCTAAGAGGAAGTCTACGTCTGATAATATGGATGGTAGAAAAGCAGACCCATCTTGTTCTAAAAAGTCAAAGCTAACACCTTGTTCAATAGACAAGCCTACCTGCCAAGACATTTTGGATTTGCTTGACCCCTTGGCGCTGCGTAGAGATATGTATCCTCACTGTGCATCTTCTATCGCATGTATCACGGGGAGTGCTTCGAAGAATTGTCCGGACTTATTCCTGCCGCCACTTTTGCCACCGATCTACCCGACAGCACTTCCATCCACTTAGATGGTTGGCAGTCCACAACAGTACGTTTCTCTAGAAACTTCCTGCCCCGTACAACCAAACTGTGGAATGGACTGTCGTCTGCGGTGTTTCCGGACGGATACGACATGCAAGCTTTCAAGAAGAGAGCGTATCTTTACCTTAAAGGCCGGCAACGCACCTGTAACGCAAGGACAGTACTGGGGGCACGGCAAACCACATAGTAAAGTTGCACAGCCAGAAAGGCCTTTTAGTTAATTTCTTTGTTTTTGTGTAAAATTTTTGTTTCCTAAGAAACATGAGTTTATCTCGCAAATGAACATGAAAATGATCTCATATAAAATTATGTGAATTTCGTTTAATTTATAATTTGTATGTTGAAAGAACATTTACATTCCAATGAAAACAAAATACTGTAATGTTGTACCTAAGCTATAATGTTAGCAATTATAAAATAAGTCTTTTCTAATAACCAGATGCATTTTATTTCATTTTAAATATTTTTCTGGTAAGCGGACATTATCATTGCATAAAAATCTCGTTAAAACTTATAAATGCACGATCGTGAGTTGGTAGAAGTCAACTCCAGAGCTCACTATCGTGATATCGACTTTCCAAAGTCCTGTTGTACGCTGGATTTTTTTTACTATTTTTTACATTAATATTACCACTTCTTTGCCAAAATAATATAGTTTTCATTGCAAAACAAAGGAACGAAAATCTCAGGTGCGAAAGGGATAAGTTGAACAGTTAAATGGACTCAAAGATTGTTCACTCATGTGGTTGACTTGGCTACAAGTAATGCATGGTTGGTGCTGTAACCATGCATTACTTGTAGCCAAGATGAACACAAATGTTCCATTACAGAAAATTCAACAGCTTCATGCTTTTAAATTCGAATCTGGGTCATGTTGTGATAGAACAAGGAATATCTTGGCATAAATTCAGTAGCAGCTACTTCTGAGCATTGAGACATTACAACCACTCATGTATCACTACCACAGATTTTGTTGTTCCAAGACGGAGAAAAACATGTGAAGAATATTCAAAAATTTGAGTTACTCCTGAAAAGTATGTTACATACCTTGCAACTTAGATAATTGTTAGCTCAACATACGATATCTAGAATTTATAAAATTAATCCTAGTCGATCAAGAATCGCCAAGCCAATCTGGCTGGAAGACAGAATTGAACATTATGAGATCTTAAATTAATACTTAGATTAATAAAACGATTAATATGAGACCAACCATGCTTCACTAAAAGAGCCCACTTGCAAAATTACATTTTGAGAAAGTAAGGTTATGATGATAGACAATCATCAATCAATCCATAAAACGGATAGAATCAAACGTGGAAATATAGTACCTAAGTACTGAAGAAAAATTTCAACAAGACAAGCTGGTTAAAGCACCACAAAAAATATTTTTGACAAAAACAAAACAGACAAACACCGACGCCTCTTCAACTTCAATCAATCGTATTACTTTTCTCTATGCAATCAATCAATGAAAAAAAAATGAATGAAAGTGACAGGACAAAAATTCATTCACTCGCCATTGACGTGTATACTATGGACTGGGTATACCTTTAAAATAAACGTGCTTGATACATGCACGCATTATAAAGACCAGTGTGAGCAGTGTGACTGAGACGTGAACGTGAGTGAGTCTTGCTCTTGCTTGATAAAGTGCACATAAATGAAAGTAGGTGAAACTAGACGTATTTATATCGATGGAAAAAATATCAAAAATACCATCATGTTCCTCATGAACGAGTAAAAGTATTAAATTGAAATTCATATCAAATACTCAAGTCTGTCTATTTTTTACCCGACTACGGCAAAGCCAAAGGAGGGTTATGATTTTGACAGGCTATGTATGTATGTATGTATGTTCTGATGTTCATGTGTTCCCTCGTAACTTCTAAACTACCAGAATTCGACAAATGACATATCATTAGAAGCGTCTTAATTGTCCGCTGGTTATAGGCTATATGGATATGGATGGGGTTTCACAAAATCTAATGTGGCGCCCTCTAGCGGACAAAACATACAGAGTTAAAAAATAAAGTTAAGATAAATATGCCGTGTTTGGTATCATTTGAAAGCGCTTTACTTGTACATTTTGAATATATATATTTTACTAGCATTTGCTTGTGACTTTACCTGTATTCAAGGGCTGATTGCATATAATTCACATCTTTTCGTTCATAGCTTCTTTACTACTTATTAGTTCATCAATTTAATTTTTGTTAATATTATGCGCCACAAATACACTTTAACACCAAAATAGTACAAATAATAAATAGAAAGTAAAAAAACTAAAACCCAACTACGACAAAAAACGACGCTGAAAAAGTATAAAACAAGATTTTCAGAATACTGAACTGAACAAACTTGCTAATGTAGTTGCATAGTAGGTAATTTTCATGTTTGGAAAGGCGTAGTCACACGTTACATATACCTACCTACCGTAGCACTTTGACAACGTGTGACTACGCCTTTCCAAACATGAAAATTACTATGCAACTACATTAGCAAGTTTGTTCAGTTCAGTATTCTGAAAATCTTGTTTTATACTTTTTCAGCGTCGTTTTTATAGTACCTGTAAGCTGTAACAAAATCAAAGTTTTGTACGGAACCCTCAGTGTGCGAGTCCGACTCGCACTTGGTCGGTTTTTAAAAATCAATCAAAGCGCCTCCATTGTATTATTTAGTCGTTGCATTACATTTTAACTTCAATGACATTTGAGATAAACGTTAAAATAATCTTTCCGTCTTGATGTACACATCAGATGACTGGAAAGGTTATTTTTATTAAAATAAAATTTAAATTAATTTCATAAATGCCTGTAAAGTGCATATTTAGGCAAAACTAAGTTTGTGTATGTATTGTGAACCAGTAAAAGTAGATCCTATTCCTAGTCATAATGTTTTTTCTATGTTTCATGTAAGTTGTAATAACTTGTGTTTTCTTCTAAAATACTGTTTTTATGATATTTGTTTCCCTACGATCATTATTTGCAGTTCATTTCACCCTACTTCTATATATATTTAACGTAATTATGATTGTGAAAATAGTTTAAATGCCCATGTAAACACTGCTTTATTTCCAATGTAGTCTAGATTTTCTTGTGTACCTACCTATTAGAAAGCCAAGACCTACTAAGACGGCGTGAAATAATACAGATTTTAAGTAGGTACATTGTTGCAAATTTTAGGATTATTGTCAACATTCATTGCCAAAATAAAAAAAAAAGATCTTAATATGAAATAGTATTTGCTCAAGCAACAAACCAACATATTCGGCATAATATTAAAAAAATGTAGTATATTAGATACTAAGTTAGTATAAAACAATTTCTTTACAGGTTAATGATCGTGCTGCCCCTATTTTTCATAGGGATTATTCTGTTCGGTGCTTTTGTGATCGTGCCGTGTGCATTCATATTTGCATCATGGTACATGCGTATCAAGGAGCGTAAACTGCAACGGAGAAAGCGAGATGGAACGAATGTGGCCTTCTTCCATCCGTACGCTAACGCTGGCGGAGGCGGAGAGAGAGTTCTGTGGGTGGCCATCAAGGCGTTACTAGCCAGGTGTGTTATAAATAAATACGTTTTGAAAAAATATTTTTAGTAATTTGTGTATAGTCTGGTCCGTGAGCACGTAGAATTTTGTCCAATGACCCCTAGCTACCCATCCTTATCGCTCGCACGTAATTATATTGCTATCGTGCTCACGGACCGGGCTTTAGTAACAAATTACTTAGTACCGTTAGCCCCTCGTATTAAGATAAATATGCTTGTATAACGAGTGAGCTCATCATAATAGTCGAGCATCGGCGGGGACAGAATCCGGTTCCCCTTTCCCCGAATCACGAGTCGGCCAGTACGACCTCTTACCGTTCGGCTATCGTGGTTTATTTAAATGTGTGTTATGTTTCATTATTTACTTTAATCAAGTTTAGGTGATGGAGGTATTATCAGTTGGACAGTTGGACTATTATTTTACTGTTATTTATCAGTCAAATAGGTTAATTACTTAATAATAATAACAATAATACGTTTATTTTCAGACCATTATGATCCATACAGAGTTGTGTTAGTAACAATATTATACTTAAAATCTAGAAAATCCATCCAATCCCCTAGTTGAAATCCTTAAAATCTTAAAAAGATAGAAAAAGTTAGTTGCTATAGAGATTTCCACAATTTTCTGTCTGTTATTCCCATTCCCGATATTGTAGATGAAAACAATTGATATTATGTTATAGTATAGTTCTTACAGATAGGTTTTAACTGCAGTTAGTGTTATCAGTAATAATTCCAATTATATTTCTCAGTCCATTATAAAAAAAAGATTACTTATCTCATGCAATTAATATTTTTATTGATGTTTAATATTGATACATACTTTATTCATATTTAAATTCGGTTAGCATTTCTTATAATTCTGACTCAACATTAAATAACTACATGATAAATACTGTAAACTAGAATACTACAGTATTACACTATAGTAACAATACAGTATACTAAACTTCATTGTATTGTTATCAAATCAATACTCACACTTGTTTAAACAGTTGTTTAAATACAAAATTTTCTTCTATGGTAAGTTAGTAGCTAAGTTTTAACATAATTATATTCTTATAAGTTATCAATTTGTATTTTACATTCAATAACAGCAGATAAACATATTTTATATAGATCAAGAATACGCGCCCCACCACTTTTGGTCGAGGTCAGCGCGGAGTGCGGGACGTTTGATCCGAGCATCCGTGTGCACTCATCGAATTATCCAATTGCAACGCTGTTATCACACACACACTACAATAATGATGCTCGGATCAAACTCCCCGTATCCCGCGCTTCCCTCGACCAAAAAGTGGTGGGGCGCGTCTTCGTGAATGAAACGATTTATAAGTGATGAGATTTGGTTAAAAACTGTATACAGGGTGTTAGGTAAATGGGTATATGAGTATATGATGATTTATAGGTATATAATCATTTTTTTCATACAAAATAAATTTTATAAAATCCGATTTGTATGAAAATTAAAATAATTAAAATGAAAATATCAATTTTCTGACTTCACCATACCATTTATATGACCATGTCAACATGGGCTAGTGTCGGCTCATATACCCATTTACCTAACACCCTGTATACACTTCTGCTTCCAGATATCCAGACACCAACATCTTCATATACACAGTGGAGACAGCAGAGCCCCAGACGATATTGGACAAAGCCCAGAACCAGTTCAACGTGAAAGTTGAGCCAGAAAAGATCACATTCATCCGGTTGTCCATGAAGAAAGTCATCGAAGCGAAGTCCTACCCGTACTTCACGCTTATCTTGCAGAGCCTGGGCTCAATGATACTGGGGATGGAAGCATTTATGAAGCTGAATCCAGGTAAATACACCCATTGGGTCTTATTAATGAAAGTTACACCCTAGTTGAACTCTTGCTTAAGTTGTCATTTGGTATGGAAATGTCATTTTGATAATCCAGGTGTAACTTTTTATTAATAAGGGGAATTATGTACTAATGTCCAGTAAAAGATTTGTAGTTAACTATAGAGAGAAAGCTGAAAAAAAAAGAGAAATGGGGTATAATAATAAATAATAATAATAATAAATTATTTATTGTATAACTTATTTGACAGTTTAACCTCTAGGCTAATCTTATGCTACAAAAGGTAAAATTAATTATATATGTATGTATGTATGTAATTAGGTATGTTTTCCACTCGCTTCGTACCTGGCCAAAGTTAGGTTATTTTGGTTGATTTTAAATTCTATCACAATGTAAATACTTTTGTAAACCTCTGAAAAGGGGTCTGAAACAATAGTGACTTGATTTTCTTTCGCTGCTAATTCTCAGCTATAAATGGGACGGACGTGTAAAAAGCCTAATTCCAAAAAAATAAGTGACTGTATTGACTTTTACGACTTTTTATACATAAATCGATTACATAAAATTACTTTAATGACTTTCAAAGTGTAAACGCTTTATAACATCACTCGATTTAACGACAAACTCGTAACGTCGATACTTTTTTACTGTTGGTTTACCTTGTTTTCTATCCGCTCATTTAACACCGAAAACGCTCATACTCATTTTCACCATCAATCCCTAATTTTTAAGTGACCCCTATGAAAACAATATTCCTGTTATGTGTTACCATGGGGTCACTTATAACATAGATATTGATGGTGAAAACGGCCATTAGCCCCTTAAGTGTCGTCATATAAAGTTTACTCTTAGATAAAACATATTCCTCCTCATTCCAGACGTGTACATAGACACCACCGGTTTCGCGTTCACGTACCCCATATTCCGGTACCTGGCGCAATGCCCCGTGGGCTGTTACACCCACTACCCCACCATCACGGCGGCAATGACGCGCCGTGTCAAACACCGCATCGTGGCGCATAATAACTCGTCCGTGATCGCTCGGAACCCCGTGTTCACTTGGCTGAAGGTGCTTTACTACAAGCTGTTCGGGTGGGTAAGTGCGGTTGTTCTTCTTTATTAGTTCGTATTCCCCGCCCAATGCCCCGTGGGTTGTTACACTCACTACCCCACCATCACGGCGGCCATGACGCGCCGTGTCAAACACCGCATCGTGGCGCATAATAACTCGTCCGTGATCGCTCGGAACCCCGTGTTTACTTGGCTGAAGGTGCTTTATTATAAGGTCTTCGGGTGGGTAAGTGCGGTTGTTCTTTATTAGTTCTTATTCCCCGTCCAATGCCCCGTGGGCTGTTACACTCACTACCCCACCATCACGGCGGCCATGACGCGCCGTGTCAAACACCGCATCGTGGCGCATAATAACTCGTCCGTGATCGCACGGAACCCCGTGTTCACTTGGCTGAAAGTCCTGTATTATAAGGTCTTCGGGTGGGTAAGTGCGGTTGTTCTTTATCAGTTCTTATTCCCCGCTCAATGCCCCGTGGACTGTTACACTTACTACCCCACCATCACGGCGGCCATGACGGAGCCCCGCATCGTGGCGCACAAAAACTCGTCCGTGATCGCTCGGAACCCCGTGTTTACTTGGCTGAAGGTGCTTTACTACAAGCTGTTCGGGTGGGTAAGTGCGGTTGTTCTTCTTTATTAGTTCTTATTCCCCGCCCAATTCCCCGTGGGCTGTTACACACACTACCCCACCATCACGGCGGCCATGACGCGCCGTGTCAAACACCGCATCGTGGCGCATAATAACTCGTCCGTGATCGCACGGAACCCCGTGTTCACTTGGCTGAAGGTGCTTTACTACAAGCTGTTCGGGTGGGTAAGTGCGGTTGTTCTTCTTTATTAGTTCTTATTCCCCGCCCAATGCCCCGTGGGCTGTTACACCCACTACCCCGCGAACACGGCGGCAAAGACGCGCCGTGTCAAACACCGCATCGTGGCGCATAATAACTCGTCCGTGATCGCTCGGAACCCCGTTTTTACTTGGCTGAAGGTGCTGTATTATAAGGTCTTCGAGTGGGTAAGTGCGGTTGTTCTTCTTTATTAGTTCTTATTCCCCGCCCAATGCCCCGTGGGCTGTTACACTCACTGATGTGAATTAAATTAACTAGGTATTAATTTAAAAGCTACCAAAAATCTAATTATACAGAAAAACGAAAATACTATAAACAGGCATAAAAAAGTTTATTTAAAGCTATCTTTTGGCAATGGATTAATTAATAGTGGTACTTCACTTACTGATAGATAGGTACTTCTAAAAGTAGTTAAAAGAGATGCACAGTACTAACAGGCTGTATCTCTTACACCCGTATTCACAAACGTTATTATGAGGTCTCACATTGCGCGTGGACGCACAGGGTCACACACGAACCAATCACAGAGCTCTATTCAACGCTGTGCGTTCGATTTGCTGCTTCACTTGAGCAAGCATCGTTTGTGAATACGGGCGTTAGTTCATTTGTTTGTCGCAGTTACAGGACGTGGCTTATGATGGGATAGGATTTTATCATTTTGTGACAGGCTGAAGAAGGCTCCTTTCCGCGTATATTTCATACGTGGACCTCGTTTAATTACTAATGTTGTTGACAGATGGCGTTTAACGGTTTCCCCCGCATGAATATTTACGAACGTCAAAATTTTTTGGCTGTAGATTTTAACCAATGACGATAGATGGCGCTTTTTACCCACGTATTATTTATTTATTGAAATTTAGTTTGAACAACAAACAAAATTCATTCAGTAGTTTTTGCGTGAAAGAGTAACAAACATCCATACATCCACGCAAACTTTCGCATTTATAATATTAGTGGGAAAATAAAAATATTTCTGATGATGTGTTTGTTTTAGCTATACGGCTGGATGGGGCGCTGCGCGGACGTGGTTATGGTCAACGGCACGTGGACGGAGGACCACGTCAACGACCTCTGGAACATTCCCTTCAGCACCTACAGGGTGTATCCGCCGTGCGAGGTGAGTCCGCTCACAGAAACTAAAGGGTGAAAAAGGGGCGGGGCCGGTGTCGCAGCAATATCAGGCCTGTTCATCTCCGCGAGTTAACATCGAAAACAAAACACGCACGATGGCCCACCTACAGGATACTATTCGACAAGGCCTCACATACGAGCGAACATTGACTCACGCACGCGTATTCTTGTGTATGACGGAAGAAAATAAAGAAAATGGTGTACTAAATACTGTGCAGTATTTAACTGCCTAAATAATAATAAAAACACAGAATGTACTTTTTTAAGTTGCCTCAAGACACTGAGAGGTAAAATAAGTAGTTAATATTATTCATGATAATTCATGCTAAATCATGTATTTCCTCCGCCATTTTCCGCAGTTTGGCACCTCACGTCACATCATTTTACCGAAGTCAGCCCTATAGCTTCGGCGCAGTGCCGATCACTGACGTTTGTCAACAAAATGGTGCTTGACTCTTGAGACAGGCTAAATTACACCATAATATTGTTAATGAAATTGAGCATACATTATTTTAAATAACTTCGCGAAGTAAAACTTCTGTACGTAGTACTTATTATTATTATTCTGTAGCAATATGCCCAAAAACAGAACACATTGCTCGTGACAGCAGCGACGTCATAATGTAAACAGTTTACATTGCTTGTGTAGTACTAAATATTATTCGAACGTTGAGTACTGATACCGCAGTGGATAATGAGCACATATTTTTATTACTTTGTGAGTGTGAATTTCTAATGCGACACTGAGTTTCGAAATCAGCTCATTAGTTGGCATCTCTCTATATCTCTATGTGTAAAATAGATTTATCGACAAATATCGATTTTCCCGCCGAATAATAATCGATTTGGTACAACAGATTTATCGACAAATAATCGATTTTTTTTTGTAAAAAAGAACGATTATTGTTCTATGAAATAATTCGTCGTTTTCTCTTTTTACATGATAAAAGCATAAATAGGAAGAAACGTTGCCGCCTTAGACGCGCGAATGGCGTTAAAAAGAATTTGTTATAGGGACCCCACACAATAGCGTCTTTCGAGCATTGTGGCGCGGCAACGTAACGTTATTTTCGGAAAAGTAATGCAATCCCCACACTCCGCTTTTGCGTTACTTGTTTGGCAGTCTAAGGTGGCGATACAACGACTGTTAGCGACGCGCCTAAAATTTAAACTAATTCGCGCCTAAGATTTAAATTCGTTTGGTTCCGCTACCCGCCGCCCTGCGGCGCCACGTGCGAGGGGGGGCGGNAGAGCCTGAGACCTACCGTCAAGGCCGTAGTATCCAGGTGCATGCTGTGCAGGATTCGCAAGAGCAGGCCGCAGGCGCCACGGATGGGTGAGTTACCCGAAGCCCGAGTTTTTTTTTTTTTTAAAAGATTATTAGTAATTTGTTATTACACAAATTACTAATACTCCCGTTAGCCCCTCGTACTAAGCTAAATATGCTTGTGTCACGAGTGAGCTCACCACAATAGTCGAGCGGCGGTCCACAATAGTTGCACATCACCAGCGACCCTTTTCACACTGTGGGCTGGACCTGTTTGGGCCGATGGAGGTTTCCATTGGCCGGCGACGGGAAAAGCGCTATGGTGTCCTATTTACCTGCCTCACGGTGCGCGCAGTCCATATTGAACTGGTTTCCTCCCTCACGTCGGACTCGCTGATCATGGCGTTGCGTCTGATGGCGGCCAGGCGTGGCTGGCCTCTTCATCTCTACTCTGATAACGGTACTAACCTGAGGGGCGCCGACACGGAGTTGAAGCGATCGATGCTGCTTTTGGACACTGAAAAGTTAAGTAACGAGGGCATTAACAACGGGATGGAGTGGACTTTTATCCCTCCCGCCAGTCCCCATTGGGGTGGGGCGTGGGAGAGGCTCGTACGTAGCGTGAAGACATCGCTGAAAGTCATATTATCTGAGCGTGCACCACGGGAGGAAGTGTTGAGCACTCTGATGGCTGAGGTGGAAAATATTGTCAACAGCCGCCCCCTGATGCACGTGTCTGTCGAACCAGGGGACGTTGAGTCGCTTACCCCCAACCATTTTCTTCTCGGTACGTCTTCCAACTTACCTGTCATAGGAAAGTACGAGAACTCTGCTCTTAAGGAGCCTCTACATGTCTCATAATCTTTTTACCCTACCAGCGCTTCGAGACCAACATTTGGCAAGTGCTGAGAAGAAGCGCCGCAACAAACTCAGTCACCACTGTCTGCCGGTTAATATAAATAAATAGAAATAGTAGTAGTAGGTACATTCGATTCAGGAGCAGTTCACTGAATTTACCATGCATTCTTGTATGGTGTTTCATAAGAATGGGTAGGTATACAAGATTGCGTGGTTTATTAAACAAGGTAGTGACGTGCTAATATCTAGACTAACATATTAAGGTACTAGTAGAAATTACTCGCATACATAAATTTGAATAACTTGGATTGACCAGTCCCCGAAAGCAGCGCCTGTTCACAGACATGACGAGTGAACCAGCCATCGCTTCACTCGACCATATTAGAGGGAATGTAACGATCCTAGACCTATTGTCCCTTTAAGAAGTAAAAAAATCAAACTTCTAAGTTAACGCGATCAAAAGATACAGCAGTTTATACCGACACCTAAGACGAATTTCCGTCACACGCTAGGGAATCAAAACCTACAAGGTGCTTCCTGTGAACTCAGAATCTTGAAATTCGGGACGAAGCAACGTTATATAGTGCAGATAAAGGAAAAATTGCGAAAATGATAAATTTGAAGTTATATAAAATTTAAAATATTATGTTTGCTTACATGACATAAAATATTTTTTTAATAATTCCAATTCCAATTCCAATTTATTTATTCCAAAAACAAAATACATTGTATAGGAAAATTATAAAAAATTATAAAAAAATATAAACTTACTACCTACCCTTTTTCACATGAACGCGTAGAGATATTAAAGTTGAAATTCATATCAAACACTTCTTAAATCTAACTGCCTCTAAACTGTGAGAAATTCTAAATCAACGCAAAAATTCAAAACGCTGAGGTAGGTACCTATAATGCAAATATAGGAAAAATAAATAAATAAAAAATAAACATACCGCATATTTTGAAATTCGCCACTACTCGCAACGGAATCAAGTAAGTAATTTGATTTAATACGTCATAAATTGTAAACCGCTACGTTTGTACGGCGGAACCCTCGGTGTGCGAGCCCGACTCGCACTTGGCCGGTTTTTTATTAAAATAGTGGAATCTAATACCTCAATGAATGATAGTTATGGCAAAAGAAAAACAATTTCCTTGAAATTGTTTAAGGAAATTGTTTTGTACTAGTAGTGTATTATTGGGCATTCTGTCCCCCAGTCGTCCGCTTCGCTTCCGACCGTTCGCTGCGCTCACTCTGGTTTGACAGAATGCCCAATAATACACNGAAGCCCGAGTTGCACATCACCAGCGACCTTTTTCACACTGTGGGCTGGACCTGTTTGGGCCGATGGAGGTTTCCATTGGCCGGCGACGGGAAAAGCGCTATGGTGTCCTATTTACCTGCCTCACGGTGCGCGCAGTCCATATTGAACTGGTTTCCTCCCTCACGTCGGACTCGCTGATCATGGCGTTGCGTCGGATGGCGGCCAGGCGTGGCTGGCCTCTTCATCTCTACTCTGATAACGGTACTAACCTGAGGGGCGCCGACACGGAGTTGAAGCGATCGATGCTGCTTTTNGTGACGTCAGAGTGCGTTGCAGTCTTGAAACACGTCTCGGTTGATCTGCCCGTACCAGACCCGGAACGATTTTCTTCCTGGCTTCGTTTGTTACGGACTACGGCTACCGTGTTAAAATTTATAAATATCTGCAGAGGACGGTCCGGGCAGATCGACCGGGACCTAATGGAGTGTGCTGAGCGGTTGTTGATAAAACAATCGCAAAGCGATAGCTTTCCGGATGACTTGGCTGCGATCACGAATGAGAGGTCATTGCACCGCAGCAGCAGGTTACTTTCCTTGTCTCCCTATCTAGACGAACATGGCGTGCTCAGAGTCGGCGGTCGCATCGACGCCGCGGCGAACGTGAGCATGGAGGTGAAGAGACCGGTAATTCTAGATGGTCGACATCCCGTAGCCAGACTTATCGTACGTCACTACCACACGAGGGCGGCTCATGGTAATCAGGAGACTGTTGTGAACGAGTTAAGACAGCGTTACTGGCTGTTGCGGCTGAGACCTACCGTCAAGGCCGTAGTATCCAGGTGCATGCTGTGCAGGATTCGCAAGAGCAGGCCGCAGGCGCCACGGATGGGTGAGTTACCCGAAGCCCGAGTTGCACATCACCAGCGACCTTTTTCACACTGTGGGCTGGACCTGTTTGGGCCGATGGAGGTTTCCATTGGCCGGCGACGGGAAAAGCGCTATGGTGTCCTATTTACCTGCCTCACGGTGCGCGCAGTCCATATTGAACTGGTTTCCTCCCTCACGTCGGACTCGCTGATCATGGCGTTGCGTCGGATGGCGGCCAGGCGTGGNCAACGACGTTTAAAAGACACTAGTGTGAGAGGTCACTAATTGATTTACGTCACGCTCCGAAATCATCGGATGAGATGCAGTATCATTTTATGTTCTACCTGTTCCTATTTCCTTTCGACCCTCCTGGTTCTAAGGCGCTCCACGTTAAGAAGAAAAGATCGATTATATCCGATTCGATCGATTATTTCCACAATGAACGGTTGCTCTGCCCGCATCCAGGTTCCTAACGCGACCTTTACCAGATCGTAGGTCCACCTAGTAGGATGCCTGCTCACGCTACGACTTCCAGCCCGTGGTTGCCACTCGAGAACTTTTCTGCCCCAACGGCCATCGTCTCTACGAGCTATGTGCCCCGCACCTTGGGGGATGCCTTTGTCTAGTAGTGGACGTCATTTGGCTGAAACGAACGAACGATTATTTCACATCCCTATACATCCTGCCTCCAGGTGACAGAGCTGAAGCAGCTCCGATCGCTCGTCAAAGACTCGGATCCGATCCGAATCCTGTCCGTGGGCCAGTTCCGGCCGGAGAAAGACCACCCGCTGATGCTGCAGGCCATGTATGAGCTACGGAATCTGCTGGTCAAGAACGAGATGCTGTGGAATAAGGTACTTACTTGCTGGAGGTATAGTCTGGTCCGGGAGCACGTAGAATTTTGTCCAATGACCCCAAGCTACCCATCCTTATCGCTCGCGCGTAATTATATTGCTGTCGCGACTGTGCGACGGGCGCCCGCAGTGAGTGTGCGAGCGCAACAGCAACATAATTACGCGCGAGCGATAAGGATGGGTAGCTTGGGGTCATTGGACAAAATTCTACGTGCTCACGGACCAGGCTTTACTAGAGGCCGCCGCTCGACTATCGTGGTGAGCTCACTCGTGATACAAGCATATTTAGCTTAGTACGAGGGGCTAACGGGAATATTAGTTTTTTGTGTAATAACAATTACTAATAATTTTTTTTTAACAAAACAAACAAACAAAACAAAGCCCTTTTGGTTTTTTAAATTTATTTTGTTTCCTATTTTCGTGGTTCGTTTTAAGCCTCAGGCAACCTATAAATAATTTGAAACTTTCGCGTTGCCTGATTGAATTAATTTAAACAGGTTTTAACGTGAGTCAGCCTGTGACCACGGCCGGTGCAACTCGGTCGAAACGTCAGGCAAATACAGGTATTATTTCAATGTTACCTATCCGCGTATCGCGTTAAAACCTGTTTAAAATTCACTCAAGCAACCTATTGCTCTAGCGCTAACTCAGTCAGTGCCTGATGTATGGGAGCGGCACGGGAGGGGTAACATTGACATATTATTACGTGACAAAGCATACAAATCTGAAGCACATTTGAAGTCTCTCTGACGTTTGTTTGACGTCCCAAAAACACCCTCCCGGACTACTCCCATATCTCAGGCACTGATTGAGTTAAGTGCTAGATCTATAGTTTCAAATAGGCTAGATGACAAAATTTCAATTATTTGTCCGTCAGACAGATAATTAGAAAATATTAGACTCATATTTTTTATTTTCTTTCATAATTAAATAATAACAGTGCTACATCGAGTTGAAATTGCGCGATACGTCACGCTTGAGTAGAATTTTTACTCAAAAGTTACATCACGCGACATTTCAACTCGATATAATACTGTAATTATTCGATTATGGAATTTTTAAAAAAAAATATGAGTCTAATATTTTCTAATTACCTATCTGTCTGACGGACTAAATAGAATTTCGATTTCATTACCCAGTCATCATCCCTATTGTCTGTCAAAGATATTGTAAAAAAAAATTGAACATACATATTTTTATTTGTTGAAAAAAAAAGTAATTATGAAATTATGGTGCGTTGATGTTCCGCGTGACGTCACGCCGTGCTACATTTTTTGTAACGTAATGACGTTCAAGACCCTACTTTTGAGCTTGGCGCGTTTTATGTCTGTCAGTTTTCTTTGATTTCTTACAGCAAAAAACATATCGGGTAGTTTTTTGATAAGTTAAATGACAGACCAATGCCCGTTTTCGCCATCAATCCCTAATTTTTAAGTGACCCTTATGAAAACAAAATTCCTGTTATCTGTTACCACAGGGGTCACTTAAAAATTAGGGATTGATGGTGAAAACAGGCCTAAGGCGATTATCACACTGCGCCGCGCTCCGCCGCGGAGCGCGGGGCGACAGATTTAATCATTGTATGCAAGTACCTCAGTTTGTATAGAAAACACGCGCGGCACTTCACACTGACAACGCGTCCGCGCGCGTGATTTTTTATATGAAAATCACGCGCTCCGCGGCGGAGCGCGGCGCAGTGTGATAACCGCCTAATTCAAATTATTGCTATTATACCCAAGAAACTTCCAATAACCGGATTTATCCGCCCAATTCCAGATCAAACTGGTCCTCGTAGGCGGCTGCAGGAACGCGGAAGACGAGGAGCGCGTGCAGAACCTGAAGGACCTCGCCAAGCACCTCGCGCTCGAGGACAACGTACAGTTCGTCGTCAACGCGCCCTACGCGCGCCTGCTGCAGCTCTACCAGACCAGCAGTATTGCGCTGCATGCCATGTGGAACGAGCACTTCGGCATCAGTGAGCATCCACGACGTTTTTTTAGGACAAAAATTCCAAAATTGTTTTATAGCGCCCCCTCTCAGCGTCAAAAAGAAGGCCACTCAAACTCCCTGCCACTAGGGCAGCGTGTGATCGCGGCCTAGTGTGCGTGTGAGCACTTCGGCATCAGTGAGCAGTCACGAATTTACTTTTTTTTTGTAACTAGGGCGAAAATTCCAAATTGGTATTGTGGCGCCCCCTCCCAGCGTCCCTTCTCTTTATTTCGCGCCCCCTTAGAGAATCTGACGAGGAGCGGGTCCAGGCGGTCTACTCCGAAACGCGGTTTACGTAGTTGCGTATCCTTCTGTCACCTTCGCTCACGCTGGCATCTCGCTTTGAGAGAGGGATGGCAGCTTTCGAAATTGCGGATCACGGTTTTCGGAGTAACCCCTCAGAACCTGAAGGACCTCGCCAAGCACCTCGCGCTCGAGGACAACGTGCAGTTCGTCATCAACGCGCCCTACGCGCGCCTGCTGCAGCTCTACCAGACCAGCAGTATTGCGCTGCATGCCATGTGGAACGAGCACTTCGGCATCAGTAAGTGACACCATTCCGGGTTTGAGCGATCCCAGGATATAACCAAGGCGTAACCAAGACAAAAAATCCAAAAAAGTATCGTGGTGCCTCCTCCCAGCGTCCATTCTTTTCATTTGGCGCCCCCCCTTAGGTCCGTGCCTATCAGTGAGTGGCGGCTCAAATACTCCCTGCCACTAGGGCAGCGTGTGTTCGCGGCCTAGTGTGCGTGTTCTACCAGACCAGCAGTATTGCGCTGCACGCCATGTGGAACGAGCACTTCGGCATCAGTAAGTGTGCGCCCTAGTGTCTAGGGTTCTAGTGTGCGTATGAGCCTGCTGCAGCTCTACCAGACCAGCAGTATTGCGCTGCATGCCATGTGGAACGAGCACTTCGGCATCAGTAAGTGTGCGCCCTAGTGTCTAGGGTTCTAGTGTGCGTATGAGCCTGCTGCAGCTCTACCAGACCAGCAGTATTGCGCTGCATGCTATGTGGAACGAGCACTTCGGCATTAGTAAGTGTGCGCCCTAGTGTCTAGGGTTCTAGTGTGCGTGTGAGCCTGCTGCAGCTCTACCAGACCAGCAGTATTGCGCTGCATGCCATGTGGAACGAGCACTTCGGCATCAGTGAGCATCCACGACGTTTTTCTAGGAAAAAAATTCCAAAATTGTTTTATAGCGCCCCCTCTCAGCGTCAAAAAGAAGGCCACTCATCCTCCATGCCACAAGGGCAGCCTGTGATCGCGGCCTAGTGTGCGTGTGAGCACTTCGGCATCAGTGAGCAGTCACGAATTTACGATTTTTTTGTAACTAGGGCGAAAATTCCAAATTGGTATTGTGGCGCCCCCTCCCAGCGTCCCTTCTCTTTATTTCGCGCCCCCTTAGAGAATCTGACGAGGAGCGGGTCCAAGCGGTCTACTCCGAAACGCGGTTTACGTAGTTACGTATCCTTCTGTCACCGTCGCTCAAGCTGGCATCTCGCTTTGCGAGAGAGGGATGGCAGCTTTCGAAATTGCGGATCACGGTTTTCGGAGTAACCCCCCAGAACCTGAAGGACCTCGCCAAGCACCTCGCGCTCGAGGACAACGTGCAGTTCGTCGTCAACGCGCCCTACGCGCGCCTGCTGCAGCTCTACCAGACCAGCAGTATTGCGCTGCATGCCATGTGGAACGAGCACTTTGGCATTAGTGAGTAACCACGAATTTTTCCAGGGCCCCTCCCAGCGTCCCTACAAAAAGAAGACCACTCAAACTCCCTGCCACTAGGGCAGCGTGTGATCGCGGCTTTGTGAGCTGCCACACTGACGGATTGCAAGCGTTTTCAAAGCGGAGCGGCGTCGCAGCGAACACACCGCGTCTCCGCGGTGAACACGAGGCCATTCATTCGTGTAATTCGCCAGTGTGGCAAGGCCCTTAGTGTGCGTGCCCTCAGCTCTACCAGACCAGCAGTATTGCAATTTGCACTGCATGCTATGTGGAACGAGCACTTCGGCATCAGTAAGTGTGCGCCCTAGTGTGCCCCGCCCTAGTGTCTAGGGTTCTAGTGTGCGTGTGAGCCTGCTGCAGCTCTACCAGACCAGCAGTATTGCGCTGCATGCCATGTGGAACGAGCACTTCGGCATCAGTAAGTGTGCCTCGCCCTAGTGTCTAGGGTTCTAGTGTGCGTGTAAGCCTGGTGCAGCTCTACCAGACCAGCAGTATTGCGCTGCACGCTATGTGGAACGAGCACTTCGGATTCGGAATCAGTGAGCATCCTCCAAATATCACAAAAACTAAAGGGACATGTGAAAAGGGGGCGGGGCCAGTGTCGCAGCAATATGCCCAAAAACATAACACATTGATCGCGACAGCAATGGTGGTAGCATGCATGACACACACTCTTCGCAATGTACTGTTTTTATTTTGATTATGTACTTTGTTTGTGTGAAATTCTAACGCGACACTGGGTTTGGAACTCGGCGCATTAGTTGGCATCTCTCTAGATCTCCACGAATCTAGGTCCATTTGGCGCCCCCTTGGAGAGTCCATTTGGCGCCTATCAGTGAGTGGCGGCTACTCAAATACTCCCTGCCACTAGGGCAGCATGTGAGCGCGGTCTAGTGTGCGCGTGACTGCGCCCTACGCGCCTGCTGCAGCTCTACCAGACCAGCAGTATTGCACTGCACGCCATGTGGAACGAGCACTTCGGCATCAGTGAGCATCCACGACGTTTTTCTAGGACAAAAAAATCGAAAATTGCATTGTGGCGCCCCCTCCCTCTTTTCCATTTGGCACCCTCCTTATATTGTCGCCCGGGACAGGCGCCCTGGTTTCGGATCGTCAGTCCATCTAGTGGGAGACCTGCCCACATTACGGTTGCCACTCAAGAACCTTTCTGCCCTAGCGGCCTTAAGCGCTACGAGCTATGTGGCCGCCCACTGCGGGTTATGTCGGTCACTTTGGTTTTCCTGCGAATCTTATTATTGATTCAATCACGCAGAGAAACTCCGACCACAGCACGCTTTATTGCCCTTTGGGTGACCTTGAACCGTCTTATAAACTTCTGACGTATTCTTCTTGCCCAGGCGTAGTGGAGTGCATGGCGGCAGGCCTTGTTACCATCGCGCACCGCTCAGGCGGCCCTCTAGCGGACATCATTGAAACTTCTGCCGGCTCGCGAACAGGCTTCCTGGCCGCCGAGCCTGACGAATACGCCAGGGCCATATTAGAGGTCATCGCGCTGCCCTCGGATGAGAGGAAGCGGATTATCGAGGCTGCTAGGTGAGGATCACCATCATTTCAGCCACAGGACGTCCACTGCTGAACATAGGCCTTCTCCAATGATGATGGAGACGGACGATGGAGTTAATGTCGTGCAAATATAACATAAAGCCGGGACAGATATGTGCCAAGATGTTTGCAAATATTAGTACATTATATTTGAGCGATATGAAAAGTTGTTCAAGCTGTGGTTCAAGCGCTCTCTTACAGGATATTGAAAAGCAATTTATAAAAGTCAATTTCGAAAAAAATCTCATCAACTTTCATGACAACAATGAGTCGTCCATTGTGTACGCTATCTTTGCAAAAATGTTTCACAAATATTTGTAAGTTTTGCATAAACATTTGTACAAACTTGTGCACATCTTGACACATATCTGTAACCGGCAATCACAACAGTCCTAGCAAGGGCGATGTTGAGTGCAATTTCGTTTTTAAACAAATATTTTTTTTAGAGATACGTTGGAGAAATTGTCTATAGCTATAGTTACTGAGGTATTTATTTTGCTTTTATTAATACTTTATGACTTTCTAGGGCTTCTGTGGACCGTTTCTCGACCATGGAGTTCGAGAAGGCATTTCTCCGCGCTGCGGAGCCCCTCATGCGGATAGACTAACTACTAGTAGTAGACTGTACATTACGTTCCATTAGCTATAAGTATTCTAATAATAATTGTAATTTAAAAGCAATATTAAGTTTTACCAAAGTTGCTCTGTTTGTTTCATTTGAAGATTTGTGGAAGGTGGCGGAATAAATTAGATTGGAAATTGCATGCATGGGAAAAGGGTTTACTAGTATGAGCACAGAATAATAAATAAGTACTACGTACAGAAGTTTTACTTCGCGAAGGTATTTAAAAAAATGTATGCTCAATGTCATTAACAATATGGTGTAATTTAGCCTGTCTCAAGAGTCAAGCACCATTTTGTCGACAAACGTCAGTGATCGGCACTGCGCCGAAGCTATAGGGCTGACTTCGGTAAAATGATGTGACGTGAGGTGCCAAACTGCGGAAAATGGCGGAGGAAATACATGATTTAGCATGAATTATCATGAATAATATTAACTACTTATTTACCTCTCAGTGTCTTGAGGTAACTTAAAAAAGTACATTCTGTGATTTTATTATTATTTAGGCAGTTAAATACTGCACAGTATTTAGTACACCATTTTCTTTATTTTCTTCCATCATACACAAGAATACGCGTGCGTGAGTCAATGTTCGCTCGTATGTGAGGCCTTGTCGAATAGTATCCTGTAGGTGGGCCATCGTGCGTGTTTTGTTTTCGATGTAAACTCGCGGAGATGAACAGGCCTGGTATGAGTGACAGTTACAAATAGACTCGAAAATATGAAAACAGTGTTCTGACTTCTTGATGATGAGTATGATTATGACACGACTCCTGAAGCCGAGTTTATATTTATCTGACTGACGTGTTCTGTCGTGACGCATCAGAACGGAATCGGTGTCATACGCTAGTGTTGTGTCGTATGGCTTCTGACGAGTTGCATAATGTAATCCGATTCCGTTCTGATTCGTCACGACATAATACGTCAT